TATTATAATACTATATGACTAACATTAGTCTCTTTTAATAAAGCTAATTCCGCCTTTGACAGCGCTGGTAAATTTTAACCCGGATACTGCCAAAGCAATTACAATAAAATCGACCCACACTTTTAATAAGAAATTATCTCTGAGAATAACCTGTTAGTCACAACTGACTGAGATATGAAAAATGCTACCGGCTTGAAAAACTCTTATAAGACTAAAGAAATGCAATCTATTGCATGACTGAATCTTAAAAAGAAAACCTACTGCCTATAATAAATAATCAAAGAATATTTTGTAATAAACATGACATCATATCAAACTGTTTATTTAAAGAATGTATGTCAAGGCTTACAAATTTACTAACCCAGTATAACAGTCGTCGTAAACAAAGAAATAAGAACCGCGCCGATAAGAAAGACATGTTTTCAGGTTTGTAGTTATTACTATTTTATTTTCATTCATATAAGTATCTAATAAACATATAAATGAGGAAACCTTTAGAAAAAATCAATTGGTAAACATCATATCATCTAATATGATGAAAACATGAAACAAAAAAATTACAAAAATGTTGATAACATAACCAAGGAAATGTAATTATCTGTAAGAAAGTATTTTAGACTTTCTTATTAGAAAAACCTTTTCCGTGTTCTGTGAGAAAAACACCAAATTCCATGTCAAGCCTTGGCATTAAAAATCTAACCTCTGGTATGTAGAATTGTCACATCATGCGGTTAATTTAAATAAAACCTACTTAAAAAGATAATAAAGGTTTCAATCGATAGCTCTCCAGATTATGTCATAAAATAATACCTAAGCTTTTTAAAATTATTTCAAACAAAATCTTCCTTTATATCCTAATGTCCATTTGACATTATTAATTAATTTTGATTGTGTTGTGGTTAGTCTATACATTTAAAGGAGATGTTTTGACATACTGACTGACAGCCAACGCACAGCCTAAACCACTGGTCATATAGAGTCTGGTTTGGAGAGTAAATTCTTTTTATTACGTGGAGGTGTACTAAGAAAGGATTTCTGGAAATTCCAGCCGAATTTATATGCAACTTCTGTTTTTGGACCTATATCGATGAAAATTGGTATGTGGGTAGTTTAAGACCCTAAGTAGGTAGGTATAAGGAATAGGTTATATTTTATCCCGAAAAATAGCACTAGAATTAGTGTTTCTCTGTAACTTGCTTTTGTTTTTGATTCGTTTGTGTACAATAAAATATATTATTATTATTAAAAGGGATAGAAATGGGAGTGATAATTTTTATGAGGAATCAAAATATTACCATAACAACCATTGTTTACAATTTGATTTGTCATTGTAAGAAATGTATCTATTATTATTTAGAAAGGTTTCCTTATATTGTGATAAAAATTGGTGGGTATTTGAGTACATAATTGGTAACAAAAATAACATAATAAATATTATTGAAAATATTCAAGTAATTTTATTTAAGAAAGAAAACAATAACTATATATTTTGTGCTATACGAGATGGCGTTAAGTATATTTCTACAGCGCATTATTTTGATCAAGGTTGTTTTAAAATATTTTTTATAATTCAATTTGAAATAATGTCGTTTAAGTGACTTCGTGATTATTTAAATTGATTAATATGAATTGTTAAAAAATTCTAATTGACAATATTAAAATACTTATGTTGATTTGACTTATATGATTTAGACCTTAGTATTTAATTTCAATTGTAAGACTTACCGAGTGTAACTTTCGAAGTTTATAGCTCAATGGCCCAATATGATTTGAAATAAAATTTAGTAAGAAAAATCTTTAGGCATTGCTTATACTAGAAGGCGTTTATTCTAAACTAAACTGCATTATTGTTTTGTTCAAAGAAATTTTCATAGACTTCAATTTTCGATTAAGTTTTGTATAAACTTTACAATTCTGTTTTTCTTTCCATCTATATGTATTTCAAATCGGATTTATTACTGTTTTCAGAGATAATGTATTGAAACCCTAAACCCGAAACATAGTGGACATTATTTGGTTAATTATATGCGTAGCTGTTGCTGTATCTTAAATAAATAAATATAGCTTTTTGTTGTAGATCTCTCATTATATGATATAATGAACGACAAATGGAGTTTATTATTCCATACTAATATTATATTATATAGCGAAAGTAGATCTGTGTATGTCTGTTACGTTCACAAACCCACTAAAAATAGACGACTTGAGATTAGACATAGGTTGCTTTTTTATTGTGATAAAAAGGTTGAAATAGATAATGGAAGTTTCATAAATTTTGTATGGAATTGCAAACCGCAAATTTATACTTAAATAATATTAGATATTTAAATTATCGTCCCAGATACTAGTCCCAGGCAACCAAGATTGCATTCGAACCCATAACTTTTTTGCGTAATTTTATATTTTTTTTTATATCATTGTGAATGCAAAACGGGATGTTTGTTAAAAACACTCCCATTTATACTCCCATATAAACACAGTAAAGATTTTGCACATGGAGGTAGAAACAGTGAAAATGTATATATTCCGATCCAAAGAACTGTTAATTCAAAGATCGCTTACTGTGTGACTATACAAATTTGTAACAAATTACCAAAGAATATCAAAAGTATTAATAATGTTATTAAACTTAAATACCATTAATTTACATATTTAATGGATAAAAATTATTATTCAATTAATGAACTTTTGCAAGATAAATGTTATTCTTAATTATTGTATGAATCCTTTGATCCATCTTATATGACTATGATTTGACATTTGCTATTTTTATGTAGTTTCAATTTTGGTAAAACGGGAACCCTTCGCTGTCCATGTGTCCATCACTAAACTGTATATCATGCACCGTGAAAGTTAGACAGTTGAAATTTTCACAGATAATGTATTTCTGTCGCCGCTTCAACAGAAAATACTAAAAATCAGAATAAAATAAATAATTAAGAGAGCATCAAAACAAATCATACAAATCATACTCATACAACAAAAGTCTGACTCGCTAAAGTGCGAGTATAATTGTAATGGATTCTGATAACCTCTCAAAGCGCTATTGACAAACACAACATTAATTAAAGTTAAATTAAACTATCCTGGAATAAAACCTAGAACCAAGGACTACGGTTATTATAACAATCAACAAATAATCTCCTTTACACCGAACAATTTAGAAAAACATATATTACATTGGCTTCTGCTAATTTTAAACTCGATGTTCGCGACAGCAAAAGTGATGCGTGCAATGTAAGCAAGTTAGTTGATGACATAACAAAGTATTAATACGGTATCAATAGGATTAAGTCTTAGATTAGGCCTTGTGAACCAGTTTCCCACAGAACCGTAATACTCACTCACATCTTGATAATGAAACAAAAATTAAGTCCATTAACGTCTTATTAGAAAAGATAAAGTAGAATCGTCTATATATATCATATGATTTCCTACATCTTTAAGCATAGTTAAATCCCAATAATTTGACTCTTAATAGTTTATTATTATTATGTACATAAATATTAAAATTTACATTGAAAGAGTACGACGGGAAAATGGTAGTAGAATGTAAAAAAAAGTAATTCTTTAGATAGATATAAACTCCGGTTGTATTTCGCCATATGAACCGACAGAATTGCACGCAGCACCGTTACACTTGCTATCTCTTTTGAACCCTTTGCGAAGCCCTGTAACTCGTTCCTTATCGCACTGTGCCGCGTTGGCCACAATAAAAACTGGTTGTTATTTTTAACTCATGGGCTGGGCGAGCCGGCAACTCACTGAAAGCCCCTTCCGTTCCAGGATTACTGTTACTTATTTTCAGCTAAGTATTTCTTGTTAATATCGGCACTGTCTTGGTGCTGTACTCACAAAATTTTAATGTGCCCGAGTCTTGTTTGAATTGGTTTTGTTACACAAACAATTTAATTATTCATTGCTTTATTTGAAGTTTTCTATTAAATAATTTACATTATCGTCAATCCCAAAAAAATGGTTTTATTTGCAACATACAATACCACTATTTTCTTTACGATTACATATCTGACTTACTAAATTCAGATTACCTTATAATGTTTATTTGTTAACAAATCTAATATGATAATATAAAATAATATCTAAAAAGCTTAAATCAAAACAGCCTTTCAATTGAAGCTCAGAACGCTACTAGTAGGGTAGAATTTAAAAAATAACAATATTACTGGATTGGTGATACGAAGTAGTACTATTCTTATTCCGTGTTTTGCTAAACTGAAGAACTTGAGGCGTATTAAATTGGTAAAATACTCAAAGCAAAAAAAAACAAACTTGAATATAGGTAGGTATTTTGATGTTTACTACCGTGCACTAACAATTCTTTATGAATACTTTTAGTTTATAATCGAAGAAATTAATCATCACTTTTTCAAGTAAAATCATTAAAGTACATTAATACTTGTAGTACCAGTATATACGATATCCTTATATCGATTATAAGTTGTTTTTCCTATCGGAGCAAAGCAAACGTTTCATAGTACTGAAAATCGGTAGTCTGGAGTTTGGAATTCAGCCAATATCATAAAGCACGCCTGAGTGCGGCGTGTTACACTTACGAGGCCGCTGGCCCAAATTGTGATCCTAAGTTGTTAAATATTTATTGAATAGCTCACAAAGTTATTGCATGTAACCTACATATTTTAATAATGTTTACACACTTTAATTGCAATTACAATGTCATAGCCATATGATAACCGTACTCTTATGATTTCATTGCCGACATAATCAAATTATTTGTATAATTTTGAATCTTCTTTTATTTAGGACGAACATAATATTACTTGGTTATTTATATATACATAATTATGTAATTTGTTAAATAAATAAATTAATTAATCCCTTATAAAAACAGCTAAAATTCTACCCAAACATCATTTGGAAGTAATATTGTGTAGACCTAAATAGCAACTCAATCGTTCCGTAATTTTGTTCATTCGTAGAAACGTAATTATCTCTGTCTAACCAAATCGTGTTTGTTCCAGCTGTTCGGGCGGATCGTATGAGAGGTGGACGAAATAAGTTTGGACCTATGTATAAACGCGATCGAGCCCGTAAATTGCAGATGATGAGACAACGGCAGATGGCCGTGCAGACGTTACGTGGTTCATTCAGTGACGGTGGACTAGTGCTCGGATTCAGCTCGCCTTATGCCTCAGTTCCGGTTAAACAAGAGATACAAATCCCACAAGTGTCGTCATTAACTTCGTCCCCCGAGTCGTCACCGGGTCCTGCCCTGCTGGCTGCGCAGACGCAGCAACCTCAACCACCACCTCCACCAGCGCATGACAAGTGGGAAGCGCATTCGCCACATTCAGCGTCTCCAGATGCTTTCGCGTTCGATGCCTCAGCGACCACAGCAGCCACACCATCCAGCACGGCAGAGACTACCAGTACTGAAGCGCTTCGAGTCTCGCCCATGATCCGGGAATTCGTCCAAACCATAGACGACCGCGAGTGGCAAAATTCGCTGTTCGGACTCTTGCAGAGCCAAACTTATAACCAGTGTGAAGTCGATCTCTTCGAGTTAATGTGTAAAGTTCTGGACCAAAACTTGTTCTCTCAAGTGGACTGGGCGCGAAACACCGTGTTCTTTAAGTATTTAAAGGTGAATTTCCAGATAAGTATGATGATCCTATCCCTAATCCCTGAACCCTCTCCGGTGTACACCAATTTTGCTTGCGAAAATGACGCATTGCGCTGCTGCGAAACTTTATTTCTAAGTTTAATGAAATGGCCTATGCGAATGTTATATACTTTAGTTGCGTGCAGACAGTAGTTATGATATGGTTGTGTGAGTAGGGGCGCGTGTGACGCAGTGGGCTACGCGGTGCCGCTCGCAATCGATACGCCACGCCGCCGCCCGCGTCGCGGCACACCAACTGGGTCAAGTTCCCACGGCAAGCGTGCCGCTTCTTGCCACTGAAACTTCAATTGTATATCTACAAACATTTATCAATCACATCGCAAAAAAACCAATAGATATCCTACCAGCAGACTTGCTGCCTAATTTTAAAAGTAAAAAAAATTATACTGAAACAATAGGAACTGGTCCAGTTCAATTAAGCATGTCACGGGTGTGATCAATCAATCAGCAGTTCTCTATCGGGTAGGAACGGGAGCAACGACGTCGACCACCGAACACCGTAGTTCTCCTCGCACGCTTACGCAAGACCCGCTGGCGTGTCACGTGGGTTCGCGGCGTTGTTGCCAGTCCGCACTAGTCGGATTGTCTCACTCTAATACCTACACAGTCACTATTCCGCAACTAACAATTTTTGTTTGCACTAAAATGACGCGACTTATTTACTATTCATTCTCGGAATTAGGACAGCAGTAAACGTAGATAGACGTATCTTTGATATTATTTGCATATTCTCGTATTAACGAAAATTATTTTCCAAATATTATTTTAAAGAATACAAATTAAGTTATTACATAAATTTCAATTATGATAAAGTCACTTAATTAAAATCGTTAAAGAGCTTTTTTATAAGTAAAATAAATAATTATGTTGACGGTTCGTTAACCAAAAGCTCAACGTTCCCGACCGAATTAGGATGTTGATGACCTACGCTTTCTCCAGACGGATGTGATGTAACGGTTCGGTACGCGGAGCGGCAACGCTGCACTTTCATCGGCGCACTTGACACACTGCCCGTGGCCGAGTTGCCACGAGAAAGCACTTTTTACCGCGGCGAAGCGCGTAACCACCGGTAACAGAGACGTAACGACTTGCGCGGTCTTTCTTCGCTTTCTCTTGCATAATATCTAACCCGGTACGATTAGTCACACAGCAACGGCGTGGTTGAACTTGATCGAGTGATGTTGTTTTGTATTTAAAGTTATGTAACAGTTATTATAAGAATAATATTTTCAAAATACTTTTTCACTGTTTATACATAATGCGTTTAACTTTTTTGTATTACCTAAATATGGTTTTGTTTCTTAAATTATTATTTACCGACTGGTGTCTTTATAACAATTTACTGTTTTTGGCCTTTCACTTTCGTCATATTCAATTCTTCTGTGGTCTAGACATTGCCCAAGTTATCGTTGCAACATATCGTCAGTAACGACAACTGGGTATTTGAATTTAACGCTCTATATACTAGAACCTAATATCTGTTACGTATTTATGTTGAAGATATTATTTAGATGAAAATTACACTATCTTAGTTCTATAAAAACCTTAATGGAGGTAATATTGAAAATATATTGTATATTGTATGAAAGTATTTATATGCAGTTCCTAATACTGTACAAAATCATTAATCTATTTGTAGGTATTATATTATATTTACTAAGTATCACGTGAGGCATAGTAAGGAAGTCATTTCTCTAATAATGTCGTTATTATAAATAAACTCGCTCCAATAAAAACACTTTTCTAAATTCAAAAAAGTTTCTGATCTGTAAATATACCTATACAAAACTTCCGAGTGCGCAAGTTTACAGGCACGCGGCAATTCGAGATGACTTTGACCTACTTCGCCGCGTTGCCTAGTACCGACAACTCTGCCCAAGATGGCCGCTTAAAGGGAATGTTAACTAATGTTTCCATCTCAAAAGGTCGCATATCTCGGCACCGGCAGTATTCAAATACCTACATTACCGTAATGAACATAGAAACTCTTTCCAAAAACCTATATTAACGTGCATGACACAATTTGCGTCGCTCAAAGTATTATTATGATTGATATTCTCAACCATGACGTCTTGCAATGAAAAGTAACTTCCTTCGCGGGAAATCCGAACAAATGTCTTTAATAGCGTAGTTGTTAACATATGCAACGATATAAATCCCTTTTTATAATTTTACATGCTCACGATGCATGCAAACAAAATTATAGATGGAATTGAAAACATAAAACTATAATGTAATATTAGAGCATTTATTTTATTTAAGTACTGGTTAGATAGTATTTTGTCCGCGATCCATCGCAGTTCATTCGTATGACGTGAAAGCAATACAACTCACAACCCTAAAATTCAGTGGTAACATTTCGCAAACGACAAATTTAACGCATTCGCACACCGCCCAATGTTTTCTAATGCAACTCAATAAAATGTAGGTCACAGTACCAGTTCGTAAACCAATCGCAGCGTCTCCGATAGCGTTACAGCTAAAGATAACGATAAAATGGTAATTTTAATAAGAAATAGATTAAAGCGACTATATTTTATTTTATGAAACAACACAGAAACACGTGGATCCTGACCCAGATCATTTAACGTCATACGATAGCTCTACTGACACAACCAATCATTTGTTCGTCACCCCCTTCCAATAGATCTCATCTTCATTGAAGTTTGGCATTAACGGAGATTAATTTAAAACCTAACGTGGCCGTTTTTGTTTAGTTTATTATTTAGGTAGTTAATTATTTTGTATAATTTTGCAAGCGACTAATTACTATTCTTTGTCGATTTAGTTTTGTAAGTTTCCAATCAACGGTTTCGTTAGGTTGTCTCAGTGAAGATGACGAAGTATTAGCTCGACCGACTCGCTTCAATACTTCACCGTTTATCTGCTGCGCACGTGTTGCAATGGAGTTATCTTTTGTTTCAGGTTGATGACCAAATGAAACTATTGCAGCATTCGTGGTCCGACATGTTGGTCCTAGACCACCTCCACCAACGGATGCACAACGGATTGCCAGATGAGACCACGCTTCATAATGGACAGAAATTCGATCTGCTATGTTTAGGTCTTCTGGGTGTACCGTCATTGGCTGACCACTTCAACGAGCTCCAGAACAAGCTGTCCGAGCTCAAGTTCGACATCCCGGACTACATCTGCGTGAAATTCTTGCTTCTTCTGAATCCTGGTCAGTATTGGTGTAATTTCTATATTTTTTGTTAGTTTTATCTGTTTAGTGTTAAGCCAACATGCGAATGGTTTGTGCTACTATTTAATTTTAAGTTTGTGTTATTCTTACTCATTTTCTGTTTCTCGTTAGATGTATTGTAATTAAATTAAGTGCTCAAAGTATTTTTATTTTATTTTTGAAGACTGTTGTTCGGGTTTTCAGAGGTAAGGGGCATAGTAAACGTCAAATGCGTCCGAGATGGTTACCAGACAGTACAAGCTGCGTTGCTCGACTACACACTTACCTGCTATCCGACGATACAGGTAATAAAACATCTTTTAACTGTTTTAAATTCCTCTATAACTGTTTTAAAATATCATTTAACTGTTTTAAGTTCTCCATTAGAACTTATGGTATGATGCTATCAAGACAATTGAAATAGTTTTTTATTTATCTTTGAAGAGAGCTTGAATGATAAATGGATTGTAACTAATTTCAGGATAAATTTGGGAAGTTGGTAATGGTAGTGCCAGAGATTCACGCTTTGGCTGCGCGAGGCGAGGAACACTTATACCAACGGCACTGCGCCGGGCAAGCACCAACGCAGACCCTTCTCATGGAAATGTTACACGCTAAACGCAAGTGAGTATCAGAATTGTCAAATAAAGTAACAGAATCATTACACAACAATCAACACTAAACTAGTTCCATTTTTTTAAACTATGGCTAATGAAAAATTGAGATAAAAAGTGGGACGCAAAGAAATGCATCTATGTCTCTCGTTCTAGGCCGAATGGAGGCGATATGGTAAACCGGAGTGCTGAGCACACGTCGACTCTTGACAGATTGTATGTTATACTTATAAACGTTACTTTATTTAATGCCGGTCATTTTTAGCACCATTAGATTTGTAATGCACAAATTACAGTGGAATTGCCAGGCACAATATTTCATATTATAATAAAGTAATAAACTTTGAAATTTTTTATCGGAAGGATATATTCAATTTAATATTTTTAGTACAGTTCATTCTTTGAAACCTATATAAATATTACATTTTTCAAAAATTCTGAATTTGTTATAATATCACTTATTTGAAAAAGTATAAGGGTCGCTGCATATTTGACGAAATATCGTGTCTCGTGGATCGTCAGAACTTTTGATGCAACTTTGCACACCCTCAACACAGTAAGGTACTTCTGTGAGACCTATGATTGAGTTTCTGTCAGATTTGCATCGATCCAAACTTTTTGAAATAAAAATATAAAAAAATATTTACTATAAATACAACAAAATAACAAATAATTAAAAAAAATTCTTCAGTACTTTATAAAACCATAAACGAGAAACCTACGCAAGTATGGCAGCTATATTACATTGATATATATAATGGATGCTTATAAAAACTCCTTTGCTTTACCAACAATTACATGAACAACATAAATAATATAACAACAATACAATACTATTCTATGAACAAAGATAATAACAGATGAGCTGTACTATAAAATACTAAATTATTATTTTAACTATTGTACATTCAGTTTATGAATTAATTTTTTTTTCTTCTGGCAATTCTATAAATCATCATTTCATAACTGAAGCTTCCACGGTATTGCCATAGATCGGTGTAATGTTAACACTTCATATGCTTATCACATAATCGGTTATCTACACATCTTCAATAACATGATTTAGTTAAATTTTATTCCCGAAAGAATGCTGGCGTTTTTTTTTTTGTCACAAGAATCAGACAAATTTTAAACACAGATAGAATTTAGTCTATTTTGAGCCACGTCTAGTAATATTGCTAAATTTTATTGTATCTTTCTATATTCTACTTGATAATAGTTTTTGGTGTTACTGTATCCTTCTTTGTAAGATAAGAAAATTATGATTATTTTCCAGTTATTAAACTCGATGTTAATGAAATAGTCACATAATTTGTATTTATATCATCTTTTCTAATAGCACTACATAGTTACCAATATAATGTTTTATTATATTATTCATAGCAGAAATGAATACATACAATTTTTTTTTTCTAAGTAAAGTTTCTTTATATTACCATGCAGTATATGACTATTATTGTTGTATATCTTATAAATCTTTATTATTATATATTAAAAATGTTTTCTTTGTCTTCATAATAATTTACATAATATTCATTTTATATCACGCGTATCTAGAGTCTAAACAGATGACATAATGACAATTTAAAGACTAGCTACTAACAATATGATTGCTTTAAAAAAATATCGAAAAATGGTTTTAAAATCGATTGCAAATAAACATAGAATATTGATATTTAACATATAAATGACAGTGTTCTGACTAAAACGAAACGAACGAACGGTTTGTTTTTTCAACTCATTCATTATCCGTTTCCATTTAGTCATATTTAAATATTTATTCATTAATATCGAAATTTGTTCATAATACGAGCAACCCGAATATATTTATTTGAAATGTAAAGTTAGTTTTATAACATCAGATCGTAATGAAACGCTAATGGTTTGTTCATATCAGACGGAATATAAGTCTTGTAACGTCGTAGTTCGTATACCATTGTAGAAATTTAACGCTATACCATCGTAACTTCAAAGAATGCATAATTATAAGCACATCGCAATGTATACATATTCAAAGCTAAAACTGCCATGGCATGGCATGGTTTGAAATATATATCGCACGATATATTTTTTTAATTTTATTATTTCACTTTTCGTACACGGTTTATTTTTAAGTACATCTAAAATTTGAAAAAGTGTATCAAAACGATTAGAACACTTAATATATAAAATATGTGCAGTTACGTTTTAAAAATTTCATAACCTAAAATCGTCTCGGAAAACACAAAAATATTGTAAACTCGCAACTCAATTAGACAGCAAGCCGCGTTAGCTGCACGTCATGTTACCACAATATGTCAAATTTCTGCAATGTATTCTGACCTTTACCCTTAATACATTAAGGTATACAATGGAGTGGGGAAATTTGACAGTTTTGTATAGTCTGACATGCAGTTGACTATACTTAAAAATTTACGTTGTTTGCACAACGTAGTTATTGCACCGTAGTTAGTTGTTATTAGAGTAATACTTTAATAATTGTTCGTTATTTTAGTTATTTTGTATTCTTTATCTTTTTGATATGTCTTAAAATATGCCTTTTTTGAAACTATGCGGAACATGTATTATTTTATTGGAAGTGAAGTTTTGGTTGATTTCCATACAGTATTTTTCTTCTTTTTCTAAAGATCAATACAACTCACAACAATGCACCTCTGACGGAAGATGCATCGACCGTATTAACAAAGTATCCGTTAGTGCGCTACATGCACATAAACTGGTATATACGCCATGCATTTTCCATCAGATATGAAGCGTCCCTAAATAAGACCATATGAAAGTATATAAAAAAATCTCGTTTGTATACCTTATGTAAATATTTACTTTTGCAAAGCTTCAAAAGTTCGTAGTGAGGTTTCTCGTTTTGAAATTTTAGATTTATGTTATATTACTATGTAGATTTATTGTGTTTATATAATTAAAGTATGTTCTGATATAAGCAAATATAATCCGGGAGTTAGAAAAAAGAGTGCTTTTGCTATATTTAGCTGTTATATACTTAAAGCGGGACGTAGAAACTTAAACATTAAATTGAATAATCAAATGATAAATGTTTGTGTGTCAGGTGCGGATTCCTGCCAAGCGACACGATTGAGCCGCATTCGCCTATCTAGAAAGAGAGAGAGAGAGAGTAAGCATCAAAGTTCATTAAGAACTATCAATACCACATCAGCACTGCTCCTAGTAACTCTCACTTATGGCACTATATAGGGTGATCTGCCGCAGCGACTTTTCGAAGTGATTCAACAGCTTTACACGTGTGCTGTACACGCACCACGTAAACGTGATTCTTTATAACTACTATCGCGACACAGCACGACACAGAGCCCGTACGAATGCAATATCGATATATACTACCTATGAATACCGCATAATATTCCCAAGCCTGCACTTTTAACACCGCAATGACATTAGTAACAGAGTATATATATAATGAGTATAGTAACATATCTCAATGTGAATCGATTGTGTCATCCATATAAAATGCATGACACGACCAAAAGTTACTTAACGATATCAACAATATCTGTTACGCTTTTGTAATATAAACTGCAAGGGAATTATTAAAATGAAAAAAATGTACTGAAAATATCTGGAACTTCATTGTATAAACGCGTAGGCTACTGAATCACTTCAAATAATCACCGTGAGAGACCACCCTTAGTGAAGGCAATTTGAGCAGAATTCAAACTGCGAAGAATGCGGCTTGATCAAAATTACTATATGAAAACAAAAATCTTTATAATCTTTTTCGAAACCACTAATTAATACACCTTTTTAATCAAACTGCACTTTAGAATAAAAATCACAATCACTATTTAAGAAAATAATTGTCTAACTTGTATGGTGGTGTGGGCAGTCACACGATATCTAACAGCTACATAGATTCACTGTCATTATTAATAGTTCCTTGTATATATTTTATTTGCTGCTGGGTAGTTTATTTTACTCTGACATTGTTTGTCATTTATTTGTCTAATATCATACAGTTGCAAAAATTAAAATCGCATATAACGATTACCTAAAATACATCAATTATCTTAATGATAATGTAATTTAGTCTCCATAATTTAATCCAAATCTACTCATTAAAGTTTTGTTAAATCATTATCCTTTATTATCTTCTCTTTCAAACATTACAAAAAATATCAATAATTCTTAAAATTTCATTTACTCGATAATATATAAAGCTGCATTATTTTAATATCAAGTTGACATTTCAAAATGTAATGGTAATCTGACGAAACCAATTCATATTAATAATTTATCAGAATAACTTATACTTTTCGATACCACCGACAAAAGTAAGGAATACCTGACCTATTCATATAAATTATACATAAACTACATAAAACAGTTACGACATTGGTTTATAATATTTTACAGTTTCTGTTATCTACATTTAATCCTGTACATTTGTTATTTTTTGGTACTGTTGTAGAAATGCCTCTCTTCCCATTCAACTTTATGTACATAGTTACTGCATCATTCCAAAATATTTAACTTCATATCAAATGATATATTCATCGACGTCATCCCGACGTGTTGAAAGAATTTAAAATTAAAGACTCTTAATGAAATACACGTGACGTTAGCAGGGTCCAATAATTTTCGTTTAATCGCCTTTCGACAAAGTCCAATAATTGTCTACAGTAATTTTCGTTTACCCATAGCATTATAAAAACAATATAATTTGCAAAAAAAACTTAATTTTATTATGTTTCATGAATTTTGCATTCACAACGCTATACTGCAAAATATTCTTAGTGAAAAATGCTTAAATAATCTCACGAGTGCCAGGGACAAAGTGGATTATTAAGTATGTTTCACTAAAAAAAACTTCGTTATTAAAATAATTATGAAATCATAAATATACGTTGTCTTATAATTATAGTATATAAATATACGTTAACTTATAATAATCGAAATTACTTGTAAAGTTACTACATACATCAAAAACAAATTCGGAACGCATTTATTTAACTGATTGTTTTCGTAAACAATTGAAGTTCGACCGATGTTCTTTGGTCAGTAGCTTTTGTGTTGTGGAGTATACATATATACCCCAGTTACTACGCTGAAATCCTTCTCTAGTTAACAAAAGAAGGATTTTTGTAAATTTAACACCTGCGGAAGGGTAAGGGTGAATACACATGACAAAATTGTTTTAAAGTCTGTTATTATTGATGTTAGAGATGAAAAACTTTACTATTTTCTAGATTTTCGACCATTCGTGAAATAATCAGTCATACCTAGATAGCTTGACTGAATACTTTAAAGAACCTGAAGTGACCTCTACATCGATATCGAAAAACTATTTTTTTATAATTCCTTTTCATGAACTTGTCGCCAAATATTATTAATTATAATAAAAATTATATGATTTCTCTTTATCACTTGGAAAGTTTATAGAATTACCATGCACCACTTACTTATCAGTATTGTACATTTTCTGGCCACAATAAACATAGTTAATATTATTTAAATAATGGTGGTAAGTAACAATTAATATGTAAATCAAGCAGATGGAACAAAAATAGTAGGTTTTAATTTTTTATCGTATTCTAGACTAGTGCTAAAATTTTTCCGTCATGTTCATTATATAATTAGTAACTTTTCTCACATGGATTGATTTCGTTGGACAAACAACATCATGAATCGCCACGATGAATTTAAGATGAAAGAATAAGTTAAACTTATCATTAATAAAGGGCGACTGGCCCCAAGCAGAACATAGTTTTTAATACGTCTTAACAATAAGTAGTAGGTAACTTCTTTGATAATTTCTTTGATAACTGCAGTAATATTGAAAGAATTTGTTTACTTGGACGCTTTGCAGAACTAACACAGAAGGTATGCTAATTTTAAAATAGCCTTGGTATTTCAATTATTAAATCTTTTACATTTGTAACATTGGCTGTATTAATTAAAAACAAAAATTTTAAACTGCATAATTGAAATAAAACAACTAAAACTGAGAATATCTCGATCGCCTAAAAGTTTTCACGTTATTTTCATATCTCTATTAAAATATTTGGACCTATAGCGCTTTCAATAGTTTGAAAAATAATATACTGTATCAATATCATGTAATACACACAGGAGCACTTGAAGTTTATACAAAATGTCAGATTAAATTTTAATATCAACTGTTTAAATATTATAATTATATAGGATTGGAGAAATTTTACACACATAATTCGTATTGTACTTTTATAATTCGTTACAAAAACATACCGAATGCGAAAATATTATAAATGTCGGCAAATAATAGACGGCATAAATAAATGATGTCCAATCGTATATACACTCACAGGCTCAATTAACAACCCAATTCGGAGAAATCGCCAAACTTAGACCATATTTTATAAAAGGAATGTTGAAAACCATACTTAAAGAAAAGAAAATAACCAAAATATTGGAAAAAAGTCTTTTATTAAAAGATGCTTACCAAAAATCGAGTTTTTGAAAATATTCAACGAAAATTTAAAAATTTTGTTTTTAAAAATAATGGTGCAATTAAAAGAAAAAAATAATAGTGGATGTTGCCACCTCTAGCCCTTATGACTTCTTGGAGTCTGTTTGTCAATCCATCCATGATGTCTTGAATTTCCGATTGGAGAATATTGTGCCACTCCTCTACTACAGTCGTTTTTAGCTCTCCCAAATGTGCTCCATTGGGTTGAGATCGGGACTGCGTGCGGGCCATGGTAAAACTTGAATCCCGACCTCATTAGGTTAGTCACTGACGGATCTTGCGGTATGGCAAATTGCGTTGTCATGCATTAATCTGTAGTTGTCACCAATGAACCGAGCGAAAGGTATGAAATGGTCTTGAAGAACTTCTTCCATGTATTTTTAGCGTTTACATTTCCTCTATTGAAAACAACAAGATCGGTACAAGCTTTATAAGAGATAGCTCCCCATACCATTATGAACCCTCCCTGGCAACCTACTGTTTCATACGCCTATATAAACGCTGAAGTCCGTCCATCTGGACCACTTGAGGCTATTCTGGTTTCATCTGAGTACAGTATGTTCTTCCATTCTTCTACAGTCCAGTCAGCATATTCTCGCACAAAACCAAGTCTAGCTAGTAGCGTAGTTCTACGTAGAGCTACACAGAGGGTGCGAGCAATGCGACGCTGGCTATACCCCACATCAGCTAAAGACGCTACCCTAGCTACATCTGTTGCATCGAGTGGAATTTTTTGGAATCACAAACAACGAGCAAACACTATAATTTCAAATTAAACAATATTCACCCACTATGATGGAAAATACCAGGAAATGTTAACTCGGTAACACAACAACAACAACAATGTAAATCAACAACTAAATTCCGGAAACCCTTCGGTGACACAAATTTAGGAAAGAAAATAATGGTACATGTGTATTATTTATTACAGTTAACGAAACCAAACAGGGTGATGAATAATACAGGTGGGCGGTTAATTGTGCCTGTGAGTGAGTGTAGGTACTTAGTGTCTACTTGATACTTGCTCATTATTATTATAAATTATTTTTTTAAGGTTTTGGTACTTATACCCGTTTTCGTACCTTGAATAAGGCATATACTAACTAGAAATCACTTAATATTAAGAATAGCAGATTTGTCGTTTCACTAAACCTGTAACTTAAAGTAATCCCTTACTAAGCACTTGCTTAGTAATGTTTACATTTTGGGATGCTACAGTTCCTCTTCTTTTTTTAATGTACGGCAAATTTGCGTTTTCAACATTCCGAAAATGTCACCATACTCGTAAAGAGACAGTAACAAAAAAATATATTTTGAGATAATAAAACATGAAAATATATGTGGTCTTGTATGCACATTAGCATCCAAGTCGTCATTGTCCATTTATAAAAAGTACGAATATATATATATATCCTTTATTCCAACTTACTAAATTGATTTTATCCTTTGACATATCCGCTTAGACCAACGAGTAAATGTATAATATGTCACATTCCGCAAATGCCCAGAGCTAGGCGCCGCACGATGCATATCCTAACTTTATGCGTTGCTTAGTCGTTAGATAGCTCCTTGTTATTGGTGAAACACATTTTCACCTTTGACAATGCCCAAATATTTAGGTGTCAGATTTGGGCGACTCCTAAGTTTAGTGAAAACGGGCATCACACTACTATTGTCATCACAAGTAGTTTTACAGTTCATCGTTAGCCATTATACCTACTCGTACTTTTAATGCTCATTGATAAGTACAGAGTTTCTACAATAAATTTCGAACTTTATCGAGAGGCTAAGGCTTAAAAATTGGTTGGGTTAAATATTGACCATTTGTTGTAATGTGACGTACATGAAAACTAACGAAATGGTCCATTGCAAATGTGGTTGGACTACTAACGCTTATATGAAATGGTTATAGGTTAAAGAAAATAATAATATAATAATGTGAAGCCGGTTCATAAACATCTCTTTTTACTTAAGTAACTATTTTCACTTCACAGGTATAAAATAGCATTATAAAAGTAAATTTAAAATATTTCATTGAAACGCTTGGAAATGTGTCATTACGATGTAATTTTTTTCATTTTCTTTTTTCTAACTCTTACTCTTAGCATACAGTTATTTAAAGTATAATTTAGCTACACAACAAGCTGTATATGCATGCATTAGTACAAACATAATCGAAAATAATTACAAAACGAAAGTGATACCTCATGAAAGAAACACTTTTCCCGCAATGTGTTAAATATCTATCGATTTATGTTCACAGATCTTGAAAACCCAGTGAGGAACAAAAAGGAAGACCGAAGATGCGCCAAGCGCTCCCGACACCACATCAAATAGGATATTTTACAAAAAATATTACTTATTAATTAGCTTTAGTTGTTAACTTGGTGTGTGATTAAATTAATTAAGTTATTGCGCGAAGCGCCGACCGGCGGCGCGGCGCGTGCCTAGTCCGATTACAGATAAAACAAATATTTATCTATCTTATATCTGTAACATAAATATACAAAAGTAATATACACCAGTCTGTGTAGCTATGGTTAATTTATTTAGCAGGTTTGTTGCGTTATTTCAAAATTATATAAGTACATTTGAGTTAACTAGTTTCTCTAAACTCCGGTGCGTAAACGGGAATTATAACAATACATACTTTAGGAAAGCGTCTGTGATTATAAACGAAGAAATTTGATGAAAGCAGTTTTTTTTAAATTAAGTCGAGTACTTGTGCATAATAATGTTAGTTTTTATTTGATCGCGTGGCAGGCGGGCACTCCACTCGATGGGCGAAGACCCGTCTCCCAATACGAAGTTACTTATACTACGACTTACCTTCTTTTAATCTTTAAGCACTTTAGATTCAATTTGTAAATTATCTTCACTGATGTGTATGATGTTTTACAAATGTGTTCTCTGCTTTTTGGCGCGTGACTGGCAGCGCGCGACGCCTGGATTGTTTATTTGAGATGTTACAGAATTTACGAGAGTTTTTTGGTAGGTAGGTACGTATGATGATTTGAATTATCTTAAAATATTGATGTTAGATACTTTATTAGATGAAGACAATTTTCATCTTCGCTAGTTATCCAATAACAATAATGAATAGGAACAACTGGGGCGATCTTTGTTCACTGTTATTTATATATTGTCTCAAAGGAGAACCAAACATAAAGCGGGACATTGATAATATTTCTAATAGTATATGGCTGCACCTACACCTTATTTAGGTATATGCGCATTTTAAAGCTTGTAAAATATATACACTAAACATATGACTTATGAATAATCGTTTGATAAGTGTGAAAGTATCTATTTAAACTAATTAATTGATAGTAGAATAAAACTGAGCAGCCGTATGGTAGTTGATATTGTATCACTCGCTTCAAGCCGTCTGTAAGTTGTACGTCGTTTCCTATAATTTGTCTGCAACTAATAAAGTGTCAAGCACCAATGGTAGGTAGGTAGTGATAAAATAAAATCGATTAATCAAAAATAATATTTAAAAAATCAACATTTGTTCTCTTAAAATATTATCTGTGTGTTGTATAAATTATTCAATGTTATTTTATTGGCCATACCAGTACAAATCAAATATTATCCCTGTATATAACATAGTAACGTGTTTACAGTGATTTAAATCTACTTATATTGTAATTATGTAAAATATTCTCAAAGTACGTGCAAGAAAGCCTTAAAAATCATAGATTTTTAAAGAAATATGGGTACTAGCATCTACCGGCCAACGGTCGAAAAAAATATGTATTTTTATAAAACATATTGTTCTTTATTAACATATATAATATGTTAACTGAAAGTACATGGTTTCGTATTTTTCTAACATAAATATAGTAGCGTACGTAAACAAGTGTAAAGATCAACTATTAGAAAAGAAAAATTATGTATACATAATATAAAAAGAACTTATTATTATTATATCCTTGTAATTAACCCACGTAATAAACGTAACAAATTTAATTTGATAACGTTTTATTTTTGTAATGATTGGCGTCAATTCGGTGGTAGTAAAAGCCCATTTCATAAGCCGTAATATTTGTACAATTAATTTAAAAATAGTGATTTTCTTTATAACTTCGGGTAAGTATTGGCGAGTTTGAAAAATAAATCGAATATTATAATATAATATGTGTTCAAAATGCTTGATGCGATGGGCTTTAAACCTAGTAATAAGTACACTTGGGTACGTAACGAATGTTTTAGTTAATCTAAAGTGTGATTGACGGTTTGTGTTTAAATTGTTTATAAATATATATATATATATATATATATATATAATGATAAAGTTATAATAGCGTCATTGCACCAAGTGCGAGAATAGAGTAGGCCACATCAACGAGTTATAAGCGTTACGGAGAAAGTGATTTTTGCTTTCCATTTAATTTTGGCTTAGCTCTTAACTAGCCTTTTATGTACTATATTATAGGTAATAAAGATATAGCACCGTGTTTATTCTGTAATACCGTCCAGTGAACACAGTTATTTATCATCATGACATTCTAAAATATGACGCTTCACGAATCTGATTCAATTATTGCATGATGGAACATTCGACAATCGTCGATTGATTGTGTGCGTTACTCCAGCAGTATATAATTGATCCCTTTAAGAATTTTAATTATTTGTAACATTTTATATACGTAATTTGGCTGGTAAAAAAATTTAAAGGTATCAATACATCACGGTTTGACGAAAAAACTAAACTAGGTACTTATATTATATAAATTAAATTATATTATACAATTTAAATTATATTGTATTATATAATTTAAATTGTATAATTTTGTTTAAAACAGAATTATTGCCTTAATTCTACTGTTCTCAAAAAATAATAATATTATAAACGAAAATTAGTAAACTTCCATAAATATATTTTTGTTTTTACCTCAAAAAAATATCACATTGTGTAATTATGTAATAAAAATATACCATACAAATTCAGAAAGGAGATCAAAACGTCACTGAACTAACGCACACGATTGGTTATGTTTGCGTACTAAATTTTAATTTATTTACATTCACTTTAGACTTAAAATGTAAAGAGAAATAAGCAATAGCAATATTGACCATGCAATGCATATTAGGTACCTGCTGTTAAATGTTTTGAACAAAATCAGAGTTCCTTAAAATATTACTACTTAAAAATATACAAAATTAAAATTGTATAACGTTCTTAAAAAAATGAAATCATTTTATAAAATTTTAATATTCGTAGAATTGACCTCTTTACACATCATTAATGTAATTTGCTGGATAACTGAATTAATAAAAGGCTTTTCTTTTTTAATAATAATTATAATAAATAAAAACATTGTGTATATAGAATAGAAACAGGAGTCATAAACCCCAGGTCGTGTTATTATTTTAAATTATTGTGTTTTTAAAAATATAAAAATAAAACGTGAAGCTATGAACATGACTACTTTGGTCACTAAGGATGTGCGCCTAAAATTATAATTAAAACAGTACCTACTAAAACATAACTGGCTTTACTGTTCAAATGTTATAAATCGAACATCCTTAATTCAAAGCGGTCCATTGGTTGCTCTCGCTTCAATTTGTTGAATGTTTATTTTTATAATCTCGTTATGAGTGAATTGAAGTGAGATGTAGCTTCACGAGTGTTAGACGCTTTATCGAAGGCAAAGCTGATCTGTGATGGTATGACATAGTTAGGTACATTAGGCTGTGTGTGGGTCTTACTGTCCATACTCGAGTAGGATACACAACCATAGCGCCTGACCAATTTTTCGGCGAGTTCACATTTTTTCCACTGCAGCTTTAAATATATGATTATATAAAAATGAGCCGGTATTTTATGTCATTTGATATTTATATAGCGCTGTGTTAGTTATATATATAAATATATAGTATGACTTCTTCAGATGCCGTTATACCTCAACTTTGGATTCCTGTTATTAGTTTTGTTTATTGATTGTCTTACCATACATGGTTACCATTTTATACCAGTATATTACGATGAACTGCTAATCGTTTTGTTCAAATACTCGACAGTATTATTTATGTTATTTTACGATTGCTTTTCATATAGCACATTACTAATAAAAGGAATCTGGTTACATATTTACAACACAAATCAGTACGATTTTATTCTATCAATATATGTTTCAAGTATATACTACATAAATATTAGTATGTAAACAAAATTCAGGCATCAAGGTTATATATTAAATGACAATTTATGTATTTACCATATTATAAACGATATAATATTCATATACATACAACGCATAATCAGAATATTAGATGTAATAACATTTCGAATATATCCTAATTATATTATTTTATTTATTATAATTATAACCCTGCGTCATTAAGTGATATAGTTTCAATGGGCGATTCCTTTAACAACTCGATACGCGCAACTGTATTAAAAATCGATATAACGCTATTGTTACAGTTGAAACATCTTTCCAAATGTGTATAGCTCTTCAACGACTGCAATTGAATTGCTTTAAACAGGTATATGATACCCAGTGATTAAAAACGATGCATAGCACGTTTTATATTCGTTAACGTTGAAGTTTACCCTGTAACAGATTTTCAATTGATAATCGCTGGTTGAATAAAATGACGCTTAATAAAACGCGTATATGTGAATATATTTTATAATATTGCGTATTCTTTCACCGGCTTAGTGTTTGGGTTTTAGGTACCTTTGTCGTTGTGCCATTAGTAAAACGATTTCACAGGGTTGTAGCAGGCGTACGCACCCGTATACTCAACTACAATACATTAGCCTATACAAAATTGTCGATATTCTCTAATTGATTTGAAACCTGATGTTTTACAGTAGATAAAAAAAATCGATTACGGAAATGACATTTTGTGGTAACCACTGCTGTATCCAACGCTTCAGTTCTAGCACGAGTCAGACCACAGAACAATGCTATTTCCTGTAGGCAATAACAAAGTCATATTTTAAAGGTGCCAGTGTTAGAATTCATTAATTGCACATTTATTAACGCTATGATAATTTCCCTGTTTGCTTCAATTTTCTATTCTAACAGAAAGCCACGTTCAATATTTAACGAATCAGTTGATAATTTAAAATCTTTACATATAAATCTAAAACCACTATTTAATTTTAAGATTTAGATTTTAATATACAGCGTACAGTTGTATTTTAGTGTTTATGGAAGTATATCTATATTTATGAAATAAATAAGTATTTTAAATGGTAAGACACACAATGAGTGTTCTATGTAAATGTACATTTTGAGTTCAATTAGATTTTAAGCGGATGATAGATGCATCACCGGTTGTTTGTTGTCGAACAGTACTCCGCACTATTTGTACTATTCGTGGGATACTGTTTACGTACACTCGGCCACTGTCTACTCGCTCAGATTCGCTCGCGCAGTGTAACGTAGCTTTGCCTGTCGCACCGTATTATTAAGCTGTCAACATAAACATGTCTTTCTTTTTTGTCAGTCTTTATAATTTCCATATGACATAGCATTTATGAAACTGGTCGAAGCATTCTAGCAAAACGTGTATATTTGATAATGACAAATTATAGAATGCATAATTACAAAATATAGGAATTGAAACTTAATACAAGCATATCAAGAGTAAATATACAAAAAAAAACTTCGTCTAAATTAAGACAATCGAATCTACGCCTCACATTCTATAATCGTCAGACCATTTCACAGTCATAATACCTTTTTAGTTTGGTTATGTATTTTCGATTTTAAAGTGTATAAAAATGTTATGGAAACAAAATTACAGTATTTTTGTTATAGTATAGTGACAATTTAAATATATTTCCTCTGTCATAGGTGCTTAAAGTCTTGCGAAAAAGAACATGTCATAAGAATAGCTTTTTAATACAGTATCGAGCGTAGGAGTTATAACATAAAATGCGTCGTGACGCTCGCGGTGGGAGAGAGGGTACGTACGCGTCGCACACATTCCAAAATAGCTAATCGTAACGATCAGCGACACGCGTCGATAATGCGTTACTATTTAGTAAGTTAACCACTTTGTTGTTCATTAACGATAAGTTAGGTTTAATCTCAGTCGATGTTGTTTAACTTTAGTCTGTGTATAGTATTCTCTCGGTTAAGTTTATGTGAGGATGTGAATTTGAGCGAATCGACAGACTAACGAAGGGTTCATACTAGCTGTAATTATTAAGTACCTAAGCGATTTATTTCTGTTGCACCCTAACTTTATTTCGTAAATCTGTGTTAGTTATATATATTTTATTAATTGTACATATAATATAGGTAGGTTGATGTATACAGTGTTTTTCAATCAATCTTAAATGGTTATTGTTGAATCTAAAATGTGGGGATGGCAAATACTAATGCGATGATGCATTATGCTGTTGATAAATTTAAGTAAATCTTTTATCTGATACCATAGGTTTACGGCTATTTATGTGTTACTGTTGTTTAGAGGGGTGAGGTCACATCTCGGGGGCCCGGGGGGGTTAAGTCCCGAGGTGTACCGAGGAACAATTACCTCGCATCCGGGTCAAGGTCGGCTCTGTCGCACCGATCAATCTTATTGTAAATCGTAATACATAAGTACACCCGATTAGTTTAGCCACATAGGCTTGCTGTGAGGCTGCATTCAATCTAACTGGATTTTATTTTTTTACAAATAAACGGCACATCACGCGTTACATCACGAACATTTAGTAAATAAAGTATATAGCGAGGCTACTAAGGTTTACATATACACGATCACACTTACTACGATCCTTTGACAATTCTTTGAAATGTGGAAAACAGGGTGTAAGTTTTTAATTAATTTTAACAACGTCTCAGCTGATTTCACGTTTATTAAGAATTGTTAGTGGCGTACAAACCGGAACAAATATAGCTTGCTACGAGTTCAGTTAGAATGGATCAACCGTCTTATTATTATTTTATAACACAGCCACATCTGTACCGTGTCATTACCTCACATTACATCTTTTATACATTTTAAAATAGTTATTGTTGTCGCTAAATCTTTGAACTTAATTTTATTATTGTCAAATATTGTTTAGAGGTGTCTTTTAAGTTTAAATTTGTAAACACGATGATCTATATAGATGGCAAGATAAATATGTATATGGCGGTGTCATAATCGCCCGTGCATCATCAATGTATTTATTCTCGTGGTGATTAAATATTGTGGAGACGCACGAACGCGCCGGCGGCGGGAATGCTCTTCCGTCGTCGCTCGTTATTGTAGAAATAAATGATATTTTCGTTTAAATAATTGTGTCTTTATTTATAAAACACCTCTTTAAATACAAGTCTAATTATTAGATCTATAAACAGCGTGGTTTGCTTTTCTTTATTGATATTTTCGGTGACTTCGATTTGGTGGGCATTCGAAATAGCAAATCCTAGTCCAGCCATAACACAGATATCCCCCAATAGATACCGCATGATGATTATTTTGTTAAAAAAATATAGATGCCATTCTTAGCGATGGGGTAGGTGGAGAGCGAGTTTGTTTTTGACCAGTGCAGCTTGGCCCGACGCGTCCCTATTGCAATTACTATATACATCCAACTGCCTCCTTTGCTTTCTTTTGTCTTTTACATATTACCAAAATTTAATCGGATTGTCAATAATATTTTTTGCGTTAGTTTGATCTGTTGTCTATAAGCACTGTCCAATCATATTTTTATATTATGTATAATAGCACCAATTGGAGGTTATCTGTGTGCCATGACAATGCAACCATTGTCATGGCAGAATCCATGTTCAAACAAAATAAACAAATCCAGGTTATAACCAAAAAAATATAAGTTATCAAAATACGAATAGAATATTACAAAATTCACAATAGAACAATGTTTTGTCGACCTGTCGATGGCGTTAGGAACCGTGGAAACAGTTACACGTGTGGAACTGTGGAACTAGGAAAAACAGCGCCCCTAGCGGCAACTATTAAGAATTACATAATACAGCGGTGTCCTATTTTGGATGTACGGAACGATTTCAAGATACAAACACCAACTTACCCTGAAGATTTGTAGCGCTATTGTACAGATAACATCACGGCATGTTGTGACATGTAGTCACATTTTGATTTATATACGAGGGGTGTTCAAAAAGTAGTGAGAATGGCTATATTAGAGAATGATTTTTTTTTTTATATATTTCGACGTAATCACCCTTTAGGCCAATACATTTAGCAGACCGTTTTTCTAGAGCCAAAATTACCTTTTTAAAAAAATCTTTATCTTGAGTACTTAAAAATCGTTTACGGCGGCCTTCACTTCTTCGTCATCTTCAAATTTTGTGCCTCTCAATTATTCTTTCAAATGCGGAAATAAGTAGAAATCACTAGGGGCTAAGTCCGGTGAATATGGCGGATGATCGAAGATCTCAAAGCCAGCATCTTGGATTGCTGCCATGGCAACTGCAGACTTGTGGGCCGGCGCGTTGTCTTGATGGAACAAAACTTTTTTCGTGACTTTTCCTCGTCGGTTTTAAGGATTTCTTGACGTAATTTTTTTATTTGTTCTGCGTAGACCTCTCCTGTGATAGTGGCTCCATGTTCAAGGTATTCAATCATAATCAACCCCTGGCTGTCCCAAAACACTGAATCCATGATCTTGCCGGCGGATGGTTGACTTTTGAATTTCTTTGGTGTGGCAGATGTCGGTCTTTTCCAGGACATTGATTGTTTTTTCGTTTCTGGATCATAATGATGAAGCCATGTTTCATCCATTGTTACGAATCGAGCCAAAAAAAGATCAGATTCTCGTTGAAACAGTTCCAATGAGCTCTTTGAAATGTTGAGTCGCGTTTGCTTTTGGTCATCTTTAACCGGTGTTCTACCACGTTTTATCTCTGCACACGAACGAGCCACTGTGGAATATGGAGGAGCAGACTCCCCCAATGTCTCACATATATCTTTAAAAATTTGTTCCGTAGTAAAATTTTTCAAGCAAAAGCATTCAATTACTGCACGGATTTCAATTTTATCCATTTTTTGCGAGAGTTAGCGACGCGTCACAAACAAATAATTAATACAAATGACACATACAAGATAGAAACCTAATTATTTGAGGGTATTATAACAAAGAACTAATCTTTCCGTGATCATAATTTTTTTTCAAGTACGCTCCATTACTACGTCATTCTCACTACTTTTTGAATACCCCTCGTATCTGAGAGTCTCAACGCATGACTGCAGACTTACGCACTTATGATAAATTTATTGCATGGACCGCATTTTTGATTCAATTTCATCAAAGTTTTAACACGTTGTCTAGAAAATCCAAATTCAAATTGTTATTTTTTTCAATTTCAGTGACGCAAACGTTTATCTATTTGTGACACTATTCCTTATCAACAAGTCATGTATAACATAAAACTTCTAATTCATGCTTAGTGCTCTATCTCCGAAACCACACTTGTTTTGAAAATTTCCCCATAGTATTGTTTTTCTTCTTCGATATGTGAAGGGTTCGTATATTTGTAATTCCACTATATTTCATTTTAAGTTGTTTAAAATGTAGTCTATATTACTACGGAAAATCTACCTCAGTGGAACAACAGCATGACATTACTCTCTCGTTTGTTTTTCTTTTCCTATTAAACGACTTCAAAACAAGAAGCATTAATTTTTACCACAGTATATAAGTCTATACTAATAAAATATCTACAGAAAGGATAGTGAATTGAAGTCCAAGGATCGGGTTAAAAGGACTTTAATACTCTATTGATCCGTTAGACGTCAAAACTTATCAGTGCAATGTATAAAAACCATATTTACCAAGAGTATCAACACTTTATTCGCATATCTACAAAACTATTGATAAATACATTAAACAATTGTATTATATTCTACACAAATTCCCGTTTAAACAACTGACAAATGCAGTAAAATCACATTTTAACGTAAAACTTCTAAATGCAGGAACAACCTTAAAACTTTTACTGTCTTTAATAAAATTTCATGAGCCCATTAACAGTCATTTTAATATTTCTATATACATATCTGTGCAAATTATAATGGCACAGTCAACTCTATCTACTTATGATTGTAAAACTATTTTGTTAGTAGACTGAATTACGGTTGCATCCTTATACAGCCGTCGAGACGTATAGTTTCACCGTTGAGCATAGGATTTTGTATTATGCTCTGCACCAGTAATGCGTACTCTTCTGGGTGGCCCAGGCGAGGTGGGAAAGGTACCGAAGCCTCCAGCTGTTTAATCGCTGGTTCCGGAAGCTGTTCCATCATCGGAGTGCGAAACAAACCTAGAATGAAGATGTTTGATGTTGAAACACCTAAGGCACAACCGCGTAACTACATTGGCTTCGATTTGATTGACATCGATTTCAATCAAAATCCCAGCCCGGTCGTGTCCTAATCTTTTGTTACATTTAAAGATAAATTGTCATAATACGGATTAAATATAAATATAATTACACAATTTGTTTATGACCAGTGCAGCTATCTAGGAACCAACGATTCAATTACACACATCGAGGGATTCTCATGGAAAGCGTCAAACTATTGGATAAACACAGTCTCCGCGTGAAAGCACTAAACGAGATAGATATTTAAATAAATATAGTTGTTCATTTTGAATCTTCTAGCAAAATTAAAAATTCTTGATCACACAAGGACGACAGAATTTTTAGTGTTAACATAATTCTGAAAATAATGATTGTTAAAATAAAGTTAACCAAAATCTTAAACAATAATTTCTTCAATAGCAATGAAAATAGTAAGATCAATCACCTGGCGCGATGGTAACCACCCTGATGCCTTGCTTTGATAGATCCCTAGCTATAGGTAGCGTCATTCCAACAACGCCCGCCTTCGACGCCGAATAAGCTGCTTGGCCGATCTATCAATAAACATCATCATTAGCCCTTTACGTTCCCACTGCAAGGAACTCAGGCCTTCCTTACAGATGGTTAAGGAGGCCATGAACATCCACGCTGGCCCAATGTGGATTGGCAGCTGCATTTGCAGTCGTCAATACCCTATTGACGACTGCAAATGCCTTCCGGAGCACGGAGTTATTCAAGATAATAATTTTTTGGTCACCCATCCCGTGACCAACCCTTGCAAAATTTGTTTAACAACAACGATCGTGTGCCGCGGCGCTTATATACTACGTCACCGAGCTACTCAACAATGGGAAGAAATAAAAAAAATATATATATGTTTTCGTCATCATCATCAGCCTATTAATTGAATACTTATGGATAGAATCAAATAAGAGATAATGGACGCGTAACCCACTAACGCGGTATAAGCCCATACTAGTGGGTGTCGCCAGGTATTGTAGCTAACGCAACTTTCGGAAAGGCTCTTCTCGGATGCCCAAATTTTTGCGGCAGCTATAGGAACAGTTAATGGTTAATGAAACAACATTTTATTGAAAGTTCACTAACCTGTCCATCAAAAGCGGCAACACTTGCAGTGTTAATAATGACTCCACGTTGCCCATCATTATCAGGAGCATTCTTACCAATTAGACCTACCGCCAATCGTATCACATTGAATGTTCCTACTAAATTAACCTGAAATCAAGAAACTAGATCACTGCCATACAAATTTATAGCAATAAAAGATGATATAAATGATGATATAATGAGGTAATTGATTATTTTTCGCAATGAATAACTCCTAAATTATTTCACCTTTTTGTTACATAATTTATTCTTAACTAAAGGTAATAATTTTATCAGTCTTAACATGATGTAAATATAAATGAAAAACAAGATAACAAATACCTAAGAACATTTTTCCTATAGATAAACTGATTAACTTACTTCTACTGTCCTCTGAAAAGTTTTAAGGTCGAATGGTTGTTCTTTTTTAAAGTTATAAATTCTTGCTGCAGATGCGATACCGGCACAGTTCACAGCAACATCGAGGCGCCCAAACTTATCTAATGTCACCTGTAAGGCATTTCGTACGTCCTGCTCTGACGTAACCTGGAAACAATTATAAAATCAACAATAGATATAGGTATACCAGAATCAGATGGCATTTTGGGAAATTTTAATTTGTAAAAGGCAGCATTGGAGGGGAAAAAGGATAAAGATATCTTGATACTTGTAATACTTTAATGCAATAAACACTTTTGAATAAAACAGCTTCACAGCATTGAACATACTCCTGACCATATTAGCCATCTGCAGGGAACATAATATAGTGAAGATAAATTTGTGACAAATGCTCTCCATCAATCTGTTCCTTTTTTTCCTCTCTTTTTCTCGTTAAGTATATTTATTAATTTAATGCACTAACCCTCTATATTTGTTCTTGGTTGATATGGTTTCAGCTAGCCAAAAGTTGCCTGGCAGAAATTGCTACCCTATCAAAAAGGCCGCCTTTTGCATATATGTTCATTTCTTTTTGTTTTATGTGTTTGTTTTTAGTGCAATAGTATTAATTAAATATACTATGCAATAGTATTTATTAATCAATCAAATTTGACTAGCATTTGTCACAAATTTACCTTCTCATACATTATTTGTATTAAAAATTATTTTAATGACTTACATTTTATTTCATGAACACTTATATGTCAAAACTAATATAAAAAAATGTATCCCTACTGGTAGCGATAAATTGAAAAAAAAAAACTAAGTATCCCAACCAGTGTAAATCGGTGTAGAGATGTGGAATAACAGATTCCATATATCCCTACCGGTAGCTATAATTGGAAAAAAAAATCTTAGTATCCCTACCAGTGGGGATTTGTCAGTAGGGATATGTGGAATAGGGGAAAAAAGACCATGATTCAAATGATTTACTTGCAATAAATTCTGTGCTCAAAAAAAATCTTATATGCAATTGCTTTAGACATAAAAATAAGTTTTATTCTCTTTTTAACAAGGACAAATAAATACAACAATTATTTATAAGAGTACAGAATATACCATTAATGTGTCTTAAAATGTACCAGAATGGGAAGCCAATGATTTAAGTATAGGATGATCCAGGTGCATGACTCCAGTCAACCTCTGATACAAATATATTTTACACCTGATGTTTATTGAAATGATACTCATTATAAATTATAATCACGTTCAGCAATTGTCAGAATTGGCAGGTCTGCTCAAAAAGATTCACCATAAGCCACACTCAGAACTGGGTATAAAAAGCCATAAACCCATGAATATAATATGCTAAGAATAGATAATATGCTATACCTAAGCCTAGATAAATAAAGGATTATGATACATTTTATGTAGCTATAAATAAACAGGTAACATAAAATTGTTTATAAAAACAAATTATTTTATGAGGCTTTAGAGACCACTAGGGATCCTTACCGTGGTCTCCCAGTGGTCTGCAGACCAACCAATTGAGAACTACTGCTTTAGATAGATTCATCATCAGCCCCTTTACATCCCTACTTCAGAAACTCAGGCCTTCTTTATGGATGGTTAAGGATTAATATTCCCTAATGAATGAAACTAAATATCTTACATCAACTGGCACAAATGTTGCATTCTCTCCTAAATGTTTGGCTGTCTCTTGACCTGAACTTGTTGCTAGGTCACATATTACAACACGGCCTCCTTGTTTCACCAGTTGCTGGGCAGTGGCAGATCCAAGTCCTGATGCTGCTCCCGTTACTAACCCAACAAGACCCTTAACACAATCATTGGGATATATTATCAGTAATAAATTAACTCAGTATCTAACAAAAACAATTTTATTTCTATATTAGTGTTGAAAAGTATATATTTAATTATATATTTTTGCAACTTTAGTCAAAAAAAATAATACACATTGTCAAAGAAATCTTTGCACACAGTAGCGTTTTCATATTGATTAAACAAATTCCTCCTCAATAATATCTTACCTTAAACATTTTCAATGAACTTATAGGTTACTTATTAAAAGTATGAATTAGTTATAATTCATAAGCCGTCGTATATACTAACTTACGTAATATACTTTAATTATCAACTAAGTAAAACTTGATAACGATACTGTATGAACCTGAACTTTAGAACTATCATCAGTCATCACACACAAACAAAAATACCGAATTTTTATGACATCAAACGACGACCTGACAATCCTGACATGCTGTAGGAACACTTTTTTTTACTCTTTTACCCTTTCAGGGTAGGCAAACGATTTTCATCCATTCAGCCACGTTATATTAGGTACACTTTAAAAATGACAAGACATTACAATCAATAATGTAGCACAAGTAACAAAAAATACAAAATATCATCTTTACAATAAGTGATTTGTAAAATTTTATTTATTTAACATATTCAAGTATCATATTCAATACTACGTATCACTATTTCGTAAATTCGTAAGAAAGGCCTTACTCATATCACTCCATTTTATTGTGTAAAATGAAATCAGGCCTGGATCTATGATTCCTTTTTAAAGTGGCAATAACTTCGTATGGGTTGCTTTCTCTATAGCATTTTTATCTATTTACTATTACATATTTTTCTAGTTTATGATTTTTTCTTTTCATTCACTTAGGGATTTGATGTCTGTCGATTGGAGCCTTGTTTTTTTTTTACCCAGGGAAAATGCGTTACGTACTGTCCATCCCGCCCATTTAAAGCTGAAGGAAAACCCCAACCTATATTATTCTTCTATGTGAAGGAAGCACTTACCCACTATAAACTTTTTTTAACGCAGCGGAAATGCTTTATTAAGCCTTAAACCAGGGCGCTCCGACCTTGCACCCATTCTGAAAAGTTTTGATCGCGGTTGGCCTATCTCACAAAATCCACTGTAAGTATCCAACGGGGAGGGAGGGGAGGGTATAAGACCCGGTATTCGACAAAAAAAAACATCTTTGGTCTGGGCTTAATTTGTTTAGATGGTAGCCAGCAAGCAAAGTCATCTTGGTCGAAATGCTGATTATCAACCACGACCTCATTGATCACGTTATGGATACAGTATTTAAACAATGATAACATAAATATTCATATATTAATTTCATTTGCCCATCCCCTATAGTAATAAGAAATAGTGATGGCAACTTGAGTTCTATTGACTCGAGTGAGATTCTCTCTAACTCGAGTTTGTTTTGAAATGAAGAAGACCTTTGTTTCTTGAGCGCCTTGTGTTCCTCTATAAGCAACAAAGTCTTTGTTGATAACAATTGGTACAAGTTGCTGATATATAAAATATATAATGACACACAAGAATGTTGTATATTTAACACTGTTGTTGTAATTTTTAAAACGATTGATTATTGATGTAAAATGTCATATGTTCCAAGGCAATGATCACTCATTGTGCCATGATATTTAAATCTTGCATATCCCCCATAGAACCCGAATAAAGAAGCCTTGGATTACTGCGTTGCATCAGGAATCGAGATAGAATGCAAAAAAAAACTTAAACAGTCGCCCAATAATGATATAATTTCAATAACCTATCGCAGATATAGGAAAGATAATGCAACGGTACTGTTGTATGTAATCTAATGACTGCTCCAATGTTGCAGTTAATAAAGTCAATAGTTTTTATGCTAATAAACTTGAATAATAATACTCCTGCTTCTTCTTTTGTAATGCTGGACGTAGATAGCGCAAGAGGGTATGACGGCATTTCTTCTAAGTTCTCAAAAACAAGACAAAAGAATACTAATATTATATATTAATTACACATATTTGCAAGTTTTCGCTTTTTACCGGGGTATTTCCGGATGGATTTATGAAAACTGATATCAAATTAATATACAAAAATGGAAATTTATTTACTGAAATTCCAGTCTTAATTACACAATCTTTGAATTCCTCTTCCACTGTCGCTGAATCTATTTTAAAGGCAAGTTTAAATAATTGTAATAGCCAATTTAAGTTTCAACACATTGATTTTAACGATATAATAAAATCTTTTATCAGCTAAAGAAAAAAAAACCGCTGATTTATGAGGTAATTCCATTAAAGATTCTAAATCGGTAATTAAGACAATAGCTCCAATCCTAGCTTATATATTTAATGAATGTACTGATTGTGGTATTTTTCCTGAGCTCATGAAATATAGCAAAATTATTCCTTTACATAAATCGGGTAGCACATCTGACCCAACTAACTTTAGACCTATATCCGTGCTACCTACATTTAGTAAGATTTTTGAAAAAATCATGCTGGATAAAATACAAACATATTTTTTAATGAATAAGCTTATGAATCGACAACAATTTGATTTTACAAGGGGTCACTCAACAACCGAAACCGGTGTCGAGTTAATACAAGAATGCGTTAGGTGTTTTCTGTGACCTATCTAAGGCATTTCATCACGTTTTTCATGAAACATTGATAAGGAAACTTCATTTTAATGGATTTAGAGATAACTCATTGGATTTTATTGTCTCGTACTTGACTGACAGAGTACAGAGGGTTGATACCAATGGCAAAAGATCCCCTGGATCGAAAGTTAAGATGGGTGTTCTGCAGGGTTCAATACTTGGTCCTTTCTTGTTTTGATTTATATAAATGACTAGCCTTATTTCGTAAGGGATGATCACGAAATACTTTTGTTTGCGGATGACACTTCACTTTTGTTTCAAATTAAAAGAGGGTTACCTCTAAATGACGATGTGAACAATTCTTTCGCTAAAGTAGTACATTGGTTTAATGTAAATAATCTTCTTCTTAATGAAGGAAAAACAAAATGCCTAAAATTTGTACTACCTGATGTTAAAAAAGTAGATATAAATGTTAATATAAAAGATAAGAACATGGGCCTTGTGGATACCACAGTATTTTTAGGAATAACATTAGATTCTAAACTACAGTGGTACCCATATATTGATAAATTGTCAAGTAGACTTAGCTCTGCAGCATATGCCGTAATGAAAATACGTAGGTTAACTGACATAGATACTGCCAGATTAGTATACTTCAGTTACTTTCATAGTGTAATGTCGTACGGAATCCTATTGTGGGGAAATGCTGCCGACATACAAACAATTTTTGTGCTTCAGAAAAGAGCAATTAGATCTATTTATAATCTTAGGATTAGGGACTCTTTAAGGGAGAAATTTAAGGAAATAGACATTATGACTGTTGCTTCTCAATACATATACCAGAACTTAATGTACGTTCGTAAAAATATTAGTTTGTTTTCTATAAAAAGTGATGTACACAATTTTAATACAAGAAATAAAAATAAATTAACGGTGCCTGTTACTAGTCTGCAAAAAGTAAATAACTCATTCAAGGGTCTTTGTGTGCGCTTCTACAATAAGGTCCCAAGTAAAATACAACAATTAGATATCATGCAGTTTAAATCTACTATAGAAAAAATACTTATTAAAAAAGCTTATTATAAAGTATCCGATTATATAACAGATAAGAACGCTTGGACTTGAGATGATCCAGCAACTGGATAGGTGATTACTTCTAAACTCATTATCTTGTTTCTATTATTATTAAATGATTATGTTATCATTATAAGACCATAGTTTTTTTTTTCTCTCTTTCTGTTCATAATTTATTAATCTGGTAATGACATGGTTTTTGTAAATGTGATTACTCTTTTCAAAGCTGGTGAGTTTCTTGCTCGTTCTTCTTATCAGCCAAAGACGTCCTGAACTAGTGGTAGCGAAAAAAATGTTGGACGATTCAAAAGTACTTTTAAGAAGTCTTTTTGAATAAATATTATTTTGACTTTGACTTTGATTATGACTTGTATTTCAGCGAAAGTTACACAATAACTTCGCTGAAATATCTTTCATTTTGTAAAACAAAATACAAGAATAAAGAGATTTCTACGACAGTAACGTGACTTAATTAAAATGTTCCATACCTTTATATTGCAGATTATCAATAAAAACGTAACAATACGACATAACTTGTAAAGGTTTAGATTTTTATCTAATTTTTTTTCAAGAAAATCGGTACATATCTGTTTGTTCTGCAATACTGGATTTTTTACAAAAATAACGCAACAAGGAGGACCCTTTCTTAAATAAATAATCATAATAAATTTAATAACAAACTTAAAGGTCTTAATGCAATTTGATCCAAAAAACGAAAACCTTGAAGTTATGTTGTATTGAGCTGATTAGGCTAAACAAAATAATTAAAAAGTTACAGGAATTTCAAACTTTCAAGAGCGCTTTATCACAACTTGAGATTTTTACTTGTCGCAAATGAGCGATATTTGGTTCATTTATTATTAAAGTATGGTCTAAGTTGTAAAATAAATGAAAATTCGAAATATCGATTTACCATCAAAAAATAATGTCGTATTATTAATATATATATCTCGTAACAATAAGTAAACTTCTAACGATAGGTGAATGTGTTGGTTCCATTAAATATAAATCTGTCGACATTTGCCACAGGTTGTTTGCAGTGTTCGATATAGAGATACATAGATAAATTCCATAACCACATTTAAGTATGTAACCTCTTTAACAAACAAGTAAGCACAGTTACATTCGATACATATATAAAAAAAAAAACAAATATTCCGTACGTTCCGTAGTAAGTACATTGTAGGATTAATTTACATCATTATAGACAAATCTTAAATAAATAACTTTCAAACCCACAAACTTAAAGAATATCTTCACATCTCTGAATGTTTGAAAACACCTCATGGTTCGAATAACATTTACACCCTCAGTTCGAATGTTTTTATTATAACTTAGCTGATTATAAACACCCAGGGATTGTAACCATTATATCTTAAGTTGCAGTAGTGAGTGCAAGTTCTTAATGATGTGGCTTATGCAGAAAGTTCTGTTAATAATGCTGATTACATTAGTTTCTAGTAAAAGAGATAATCATAGAGGGCAACCTAGAAACCAAGAAAGGAAGGCAGATAGAATACCGACATCGTCAGAAGAAGATGAAGGCATCAATTTGTACTTCGCAAGGAATATATCGCAGTCGCCAACTACAACGTCGAAACCGAAGCAAGACGAAATTGTAGAAAAGTTTATAGAATCTTTAGTAGCGAGTGAAAAGTATTATAAGGTTGTGGAATCTTTGGAGCGAAAATTGCGTCATTTAGAAATCATGTTTAATGAAAGATCCAATAAAATGATCAAACATTTGCTAGAAATTCGTCAGCTAGTGAAATCATCACCATCGGAATTCTTAGAAATAGCTCTCCGCTCCATGAACGCAGATCTAGAGAAACTTAGGAATGCAATTTCAAAGTCAGTGACTCATCCGAAATTAAGAGGTAAGTACCTTTTGACTCGACCTTATGACCCAAGAGTAAAGGAAGGGCTATGTTTTTCGGGAGTATCTTGTATGTATGTAATATTCTTTATTACTTCATATCTTCAGAACCGCTGAACGGATTAAGATAATTGAGCTATCGTTAGATGTCTTAGTGGCTCTAAAGTCTTAGATAGGCAAAGTAAAAAAACATATATGGCGGCTGTGAGACGTCATTATATTCAATCTTAAATGTTTAAAAAACAATATCAAATTAAAGATTATTATCATTATTGTAATACCAATGATAAAGTTTAAAAATATTTGTGCTCGCAAATGGACTTTGTTCTTACACTTTCTGAACCAACCTGGTAATTTGTGTAACTAAAAAGACAAATAAAATTATAATTAAAATAAAACAAATGAACCCGCTTGGAAAATAAGAAACTGAAAAGACTGGAACAAGATAAAAAAATTATACATCATACGTAAAGATATATACTTGCAAAGTGGTAAAATATGGGCATATTCCTAGACATTTTTCCTAAAGCCATTTTTTGTAAAAGTCTTTTAAATTCTTTTAAAATGTGCGTGTGCTACTGCTACGAGCTTCAGATTTAATAACAACAAAGAAAAGATAGATGATGTAGATCTTTTTACTTCAAGCGATTTAGGCGATTTTGTTGCCGATATACCATAAGAATTATACGACAGCAGCAGTTCTGATAAAAATGTAACCTCATTGACAAATTGGCTTAAAGAATACCTGAAGCCTCACTAGAAACGGTAACATAAAACTGAAGTTCTTCCTGATGACCCATTATTACAGACAAAAAATCAATTCAAGATGAAAATAATAGTATATTTGTGGCAGATTACCCTGGTCTAATTTTTGCTAACGAACAAGATGCACGACAAAATTATATTAAAAAATCTAAATATTCTATCATACCAAAAAGTCGACACATAATGATAACAGTTGTAAAGGTAAATGCAGTAGTAAATGTGCGTCATTTTCATTTGGAAATAGGATTCGAATTTGGCATAATTATTGGTAACTCGAGTATTCAAATAACTGGCATAAAAAACGCAAAGCAAGTGAAACTGGCAGTCCAGAAATAATCAAAAAGGAATCTTGATTCTTTTACTTTCGTAAAAATAATAATGAATCTAATCCTATTAGCCGATTCTTTTTTCTGGAAGAAATGAAAGTGGGACTAAATATTTTTGTATGGATTGAAAAAAAATTGTCCTACATCTAGATATATCTCAATACAAGGCTTTTTAAGATGACCAAAGGGATAGCAATATCACCTTTGGGCTGATAATTGTGCAGTCCGAAATAAAAATTGTACTCTTTTCACTGCCATGGTCATGATAGTTAATAACGAGGCAAATGACATTTAATAAATTATTTAACTAAAGGGCACACTCATATGGCCGCTGATGCGGTTCATTCTAATATTGAGCTAAAAACGAGACATCAACGTGGTACTTACGATTATGAAGATTTTAAGGAATGCGTGTTGAGATCGCGAGAAAAAATATAAGAAATTCAACATCGTCGTAACTGGTATTAGAAAAAGGGGCTGGTCGTTTTGGTGAACCTCTCAGAGTTACAGTTAAAATTTATGGTTCAGGTCATATCTGTAAAGGGTTCAAGAAAGCTATTTTTTTAAACCAGGTACAAGTCGTTACAGTAAATAATAATCTAGAAATTTTATCTCGTTTCTACAAGATAAAATTTCTAAATTAATATGTATTTTTTTTAGTTTATTTGTTATTATCAGCATCCAGAAAATCTTTTTGGTAAAATTTGCCCATAAACCAATCATTGCATTTGTCTTTTTTTGGTCAAAAGGAAACAATTGATTAAATCAATAAATCTGATTTTTATATATATATTGCCTTTTTGAACTTATATTTTATTTATTACCTTTGTTAGTTGTAGATAAATTAACTGAAAGTTACATCAGAGCTATTGCTGGCTTTTGGTCTTGACAAGCTGACTTTTAGCTAATATGCTAATCCAGATCAAAATCTAGTTCACCGCATATGATGTCGCTTCCCGTAGGTTTAAGAATTTTTAAAATCAGTCCAATAGATTCGGAGTGTTTTCGATGCAAACAAACAATCGTTTTTTCCCGTTTCTTTCTTTTATAATAAAAAAAAATATATATATTAAATAACAGCACATTCATTGCTCCGATTCCAAGATGAGTAGCTAAAGCCAAAACGTAAAGCGTATTAAAGAGTATCAGAGACAACAATGGTACTACAACACCCAGACCCGAGACAATATATAAAAGATCATTTTCTACATTAACCCGTCCGGGAATCAAACGCGGGACCTCAGAGATGGCGCTCTGAGAAACCGGCGTGCGAACCATTTGGCTACAGAGTTCGTCAAAATAATATTAGTGTAGATGACAAGCCATTCAATACAATAAACAGAGAACAGTTTTATAACCTGCTTTTTGCAGAAAATATAGTAGTATTATATTCAGAAAATGTCGATAAAATGTCAAGAATGATTTAAGAATTAAAGATCGAAATCTACAGAGTTCATTCACTTAAAGATAAATTATTTATTCAAAATACGAATTTCCGGTAGGTGCCAAATACGTTGTTCCTGTGGGTACTGTCAACACATGTAATGTATTGAGGCTATTCTATTGCCTTAGGTGAGCACAATCAAGATTGACGGTAGAAAAACTCAAGGCTGAGTATTCTTTAGAACCATCAATATGATGTTCCTTCATGTATTTGACTAACAGTTCTGAAAGTTTTAAGACTTCAGCAGAGTTTTAAGCAACTGCGGGAGAATGGACACTATACGCTTTTTCGTTTAAAAATACTTACGAACACTTAACAAACAAAGCATGTGACGGTACTTTTACATGTAAGACGGTGAAGTCTTAAATTAATCTAATGTAAGGGTGAATCAATTCACTGCGCAACGTGGCCGATACGCCTATGATGATACAAACAATAGTAGTTACTCCATTGTTTCAGATAGCCCATTGTCAGATCCCTAACTCATAGCCCATCACTTAAACCAGTTGCAATTTGTGCAAATTAAAAATGTGTTGTAATTTACTACTTAAGACATCATTTGTATTAAAATTTACGTACATATATACATACATAACATATATACATAGGGCAGATAACCCAGTTTTGACCATTTTAAGAATAACGATGAAGTGAATATTGGTACATCAGAACTGCCAAGGGTATTAATTTTGCCATTCAAAATGAAGTTGGTAGAATTGTGGTTAAAGTAAAGTGGCCATTAAAAGATGAAGAACATTTCAAAAAACCGTAACCGGTAAGTAATATTATTTGCCTAATATTATAAATTGGCCCCACGTTGGGTGCCAGTTGAAACGGGTCGGACTAACTTAGATGATCAGTGGCGTAGCTAGGTAACCTAGGGCCTTGGGGCAAATAAAAAAAATGGGCCCCACTGCTATAAGTATAATTAAAATTGGTAAGGTTTTTTGAAGTAAAATCATTAAATATACAAATACTTTAAAAATGCTAAGCAACTTTATCATTAGCTCTTTTTCGTGCATGGGCAGGTAATAAAACTATTAAACACTAACAACATAAATTACAATTATTTTGATACTTGTTGTAGGTATTGGGCAGTTAAACGAAATAGAAAAGATTCAAGGGTTATAGTAAGTAGCCGAAATCTATCGATTTCTTAACGTAACTATGTATACGTACTATAATCAAATTAAATTGAACTTTTGTATGGACCAGTACAAAAAATTTATTGACATACGCTTACTTACTCCTGATACATTAACTTTTTAACCATTCTCGAAAAAAATCTTGACTCGAAGTTCACAATCGCGAATCACAAAAAACGCATATCGATAAATAATAATATGCAGATATTGATATCCGACAAATTGATGAAAACATTAATAACACTGTCAACCCACACAAATAATTTAGGGAAATTCCCTTTTTATAACTTTGGAATTTCTCATAACTGAGTTGCCATGATTAAACTCGAGTTGTCACCTGTCATATTTATTTTGAAAATGGGAGAAATTTTCAAAAGTTGAGTTAGATTGAGATTTTCTGGTAAAGATTCGAGGGCCCCCTGAGCTTGAGGGCCCCCGGGCACTGCCCCGCCTAGCCCCTTAGTAGCTACGCCACTGTAGATGATGGTAGTCAAATAAAAGGCTGACTTGGCTTTACAAGTATATTTATTGTGAAATAAAAAACTGTAACAACAAAATAATAATAACAAAACGTTATGGTTTATTATATTTTATTTCGGAAATTAAACATATAACTACAAACCCCGTTTCTGGGTTTTCTTTAGAAGATAAAATGCAGACTTATATACACGTACACGAAAATTTATATCACTTTAATATATTAAAAAATAGATTTATATCACTTCAGTACTTTAAAAATATTATAATCAATTTTTTACGTACTCACATTAAAAATGAGCTTGACGTATTTCTAAAAAGAAAGAAAAAAGATCAGAGACAATATCGTGTTCATAATACATAAAAATGGCAAATTCTGAGTGTTATACATAGTATTCATACTAGGTAATAGTTTAAAGAGTAAAGTTAATATTGTTTGCTTGTTTGATCATTGTTCTATGCCTATTTGCTTTTACTATTTGCTTATACCAAAATATGTCTTATAGGTACACAAATTTTGTAGCCGCTCGAGGTTTTTATAATGCTCCTCAGTTAAGCTAATAATTCAATAAGTATCTACAGTAGCAACTTAAAAAGTAATAAAGGCTTAATTGTCTAATTTAAAACCTATCGCAATCCATTTCAAATTGATATTTCGAAGATCTTCATAGAGTTTATGCTACATCCATTTAACATGTTATCGTGCCGGTTTTTTAATATATTGAATGAACGGCAAGAGTTTAAATTATTTACAAGCCCTCGAGTTTAATTAATTCGAATTTGGGTTGGGATTTTTATAGAATCTCAAGGCTGGGCATTCTCCCGGATTGCACTCCCTCTGTCTAGCTATGACTGTGAATGAGGCAAAGTATCGCCAACACATTATCTAAGATATCGTATGACATGTTAGCGACGTCATGACGATATTTCATGTCATGTTACAATTTTGACCTGTCTTTTGTTGGAAAAAATCTGGGATAAACGACTAAGTGAGTAACACTACCTCAGCTATGTTATTCATCGTTTTTTGTCTTTCGTTCGTTCGTCGTCAATATCGGCATAACATCATCAAGATGTCATATCCTATGACTAGAATCATATAATGTCATGTCTGCCTACTCCGCAAGAGATCGGATGTAGAAATGTAACGATTCTGAATGTTGATCTATATGTATCTATAATTGTTATCATTATATCTACTCTTTATTACATGCAAAGGTGAATGTATTCAGCAACAGCATTATGACGTTTGTTCTCAACTGAAATCAGTTCACTGTTTACATATGGCAACGCCAATATCTTAAACCATTATGATCTAAAGAATCGACAATGGATTTTAACATCCGCAGTTACCTTACACACGAAACAAAAAAAATCTCACCATTGTCTAACATTTTGTTATTATTAATTAGCTGTGAATGAAATAATAAACGTACAATAATAAACGGTACATTTTTACTTTCATAGGTATAGAAGTAAAAAGTTAGGTAAAACCGTACGGACTTTAAAAATTATGAATTCATTAGAGTTCATGTTCATTTGAGAATTTCCATTCCTTTTGCTTTAAAAAACTTGAAAAAGTGAAAAATAATACTTATCTCAAAAGCGACTTATTCAAAAAAATGCTATTAGCTTTCAAATAAAAAAGTATCGTTAAAATTGGTACACCCAGTAAAAAGTTATGAGGTAACAAACACAAAAAAATACAGTCGAATTGAGAACCTCCTCCTTTTTTAAAGTCAGTTAAAAACGAGAAATGGTGGCATATTGCGCATCAAAAACTTATCATCATCATCGGCTTCTTAATGTCCCTAATGCTGGGGCTCGGGTTTTCCGTTCGGATGTAATCGAATCAAACTGAATAGGGAGAAGGGGCCACCAAGCGTGTCCAGTGTGGATTGGTGGGTGTGAACGATTGATGATGCATCAGGGACGTGCCTTCTGAAGCACAGAGGAGCTAGAGATAATAAATCTTTGGTCACCAATCATATGACCGACAGTTAAAAAAGTTGCTTAACAAACGTATCGCTTACCGAGGGCGCTAACCACTGTGCCATCGAGCTCTGCTCGTCAAAAACTATTATATATGATTTTTGGGACTAAGTAAATTATCTGTTTCTGCAATATAGAAAAAAATATTAATTCCCTTTTTGCTGTAACGAATAGTATGTCATTTTTAATTTTTGCTTATTTGGGCGAAAAATATCACAAGTGCTTAATGTACCAGATATAAGTAGTTCTGGCAGCGTGCCACAATAGATCGTTTAGGTAACAGTGACTACAGCCCCACATAGAACTACATAACCCCTTAAGATTAGGAATAATAATAAATCTGAGGCAATGGTAGTAGTATTTAGCGACCTTTTCTCGAGGTGCTTGGTTTTTTTTACAACTCACATAACTTGGGTTTGCATTATTGAACAAAAAATTATGTAGAGCTAAGCTTCTCACTTTCATTCACATTCCCTAACTCTACCAAGCTGTAACTTTACAAACTCTGCATTTGCAATGGTATATGACATCCGCGTGCGGCGTACGGGTGATTTCTTTTCCTGGCTTTCATTGGTCAGTCATTGTTTTATTGCCCAATGAAATGAGTGCGTAGATTGCAGGTTCGCAGTTTCGCCTGCACTCCGCTAGCTAACCCCATCGAACAGTTGTAGCTTGCTTGCCTTAATCATTTCAAAATTAACTTTTCATTTATTTTACAACATCTTTTGCCTGCGACTTCGCGTAGAAATTATAATGAAATGGTATAGAAATGCTTAAATAAATATTCAGTTTTTAACCGAGTTCAAAATCGAAAAGGAGTAAGTTATTTGTTCGACGGCAATATATGTATGTTCACCGATATTTTCGTAAAATGTTGAGCGATTTCAAAACTATTTTTTATTCGACAGCTTGATCGATCAAGAAAATTTAAACGGGACCACGTTTAAATTTTACTATGTGTAAAATATAATATATATTAACATACATACATATTATATATTGGAGTAGATATGTTAAACGATTTCTTCTTGAATTGTGAACCAATTTCTATCATACCAACCAGTTATCTATAGTTTTGGGGCCTATCCAATGCAAACAAACAAGCAATCAAATCTTTCCTCTTTCAAATATGAATATAAGTAGATTATTGGGTAGAAATATGTCGAGCAAATTAAAAAAATCTCCTATTCTGATTCTCACTATGATAATTATTTTTATTTACTATTTTTAGAGTTACCTATTATATAAAAAAATAACAACATCAACTAAAAAGCATAATTTATTCTAAAAAAGCCTTATAAGACAGAAAGTTTGATGATTTTATGATTGACAATGACAAACTTCCATACAAACTTTGGGAAGTACGAATCTCGTTTGGGGTTGTACCAAGCCACTAAAAACAATTCACCAGAACCACCTTATACGGGTAAATTTTTATTTATTTATGTACTTTACTATGCACTATTACAGTTATACAAGCAATATGATAAAAGACGGCATTTTAAGCATTTTTTTCCTATATTTTGATTTAAAATTGAAGTCTTAAGTATTTATAATTATCTTGACCAAAATAATAGCTCGATTTAGAATAAACATAAAGCCTTGATATTGAGCTTGAACATTTACAAAATTTTGTTATAAAGTAATACAAATATCAATAAAAAAAACATAGAATCTTTCTATCATATTAAACCTTTTTCGGGGAGCAATCTCAAAATATCCGTTTTTAGGACACCTCTAAGATGATTAGGGCACAGTGTAAATATAAGTAGACAGTGGTGAAACTGCCTACAAGTGTTCGAAATCGCACGCACACATAAACACGCTCACCGACGAGCCGCCTAAGTGGACCTAAAGGACGCTCAGTAACGCGTATCGCATCGAGATGAAGAGTAATGTTACACGTTCCGCGATCGTTTTTATTTAAAAAATGAAGTAACGTAGTAAGGTCCCACCCGAAAATGCTTAATAAACATCCAAAAGCAGCCGTTCATGAGCGCGCCACCTAAATGCAGTGCCCACCTACCACGCGTCCGATCCGAAGAGAGCACGAAACGTTGGACGTTTCGTGCGCTCTTCGGCTATGTGTTCGTCAAAAACTTGTACAAGGTTATGCCGTAATATCAAAGATCAACATAAAAACAAAGATTTACAAGTTGTGTCAATGTTAAAATATTTCTCGTATGTTAAACTATCGTCTTTTGCTGAGATTAATCGATTTTTAACCGACTTCAAAAACATTCAAAATGACAACCCTATGGTTTCAATGGAGCGTAGGTATTTATTTTTTCAAATAGGCTTAGTTTCTATACTGTGTCATTCTTATACTGTGATTAGGGTCTTCTTCTTTTATTATTAATTACTTATTTGCGCGTTTTGCACAATCCTACCAATTTCAAGTAGTTAAATTAAATTATTCTACATGTAAAAAAATGACAATGAAATGAATGAATAAGGGTCTGCGTCGCTTAAAAGTCAGTTAATCAATCAGTTAGGTTAGGATATTAGGGAAAGTAGGTATTCGATTTTCAAATACCTATGTAAAAATAAACAGTTGAAAAATATAGTGTCATTAAAATGTTTATATTTAAGAGACCATTTCGAAATATGCTTATATTCTTTCTTGTGGCGGATTATCCTTTAGGCCAGGTATTCTCAAAATAGGATTTTGTAGTTTAGCTGAGGGTCTTAGGTAACATTTCATTCTGGAAAAGTGATCTCATGCTCAATAGTGTTTGGGTATCCTTACTTTGGGCAAACTACACAAATGCTTATTTGTACTGCTTCGCCCGATTCCTCATAAAATACCTTAGGCTTAATTTACTATGCTATGAGTTAGGTCCTTGAATCTGTGCATGATAGTATTGGTGGGATATCGTGCCATTCTAATATTTACTTACTCACAGGTCTATTATTTTGTTTCATCCATATTTAAAACAAGTGAACTATCCAGCTTTATAATAATAAAATAAAAAGCCAAAATGACTCTATGTGTATTCAAATCAAAAAGCTATGTTTTTGTGGTTTAAACACAATAAAAGCACCACGAAAACCATTTACTTTTTATTAGCCTCTGCCTGCATAAAATACCTTTTTTAATTGAGCGGAACTAGCCTTATACTTATCCGACCTTGGATTACAGAGCTGTACAATTTAGGGCACTCAAACCGCCGGATCAGCTGAAGCTGGTCAAGCGCGGTTGGCCTACCTGTCAAACAAAACCCTGCGTTTACAATCTTGCTTTGTCCGGCCCTGGATAACAGACAACAAATTACCGGAGGCTCCGTACCGAGCTGCATCAATTACATACATATATGTATTTGATTCAAGTCACTATATACTCATTACCATAGTTAAAAGTAAAATGAGGCAAAAAATTATTTGAAATAAAACTGTCCTATGTAACAAATAATGCTTCAATAAATACCTTAATAAATACGTCACATATACACCTCAGTCAGAATTAATAGTACGAAAGTCTGAATTACCTTACATACTCGTCTCCAATGCAGCATTGTTTGTAATCAAAATAATAATTAATACGTGACGGTATATAAACAAATGTGTGTAAAATACATCTGTGCGAATAACCCACGCTCGCGGAGTCACCTGATAGGTATTCTTCAGCATTATGTTTTTGTTTAGCCGATGCGAATACTGTAAACACTATTTTCATTCGAACAACGGATACGACACTCAGTCATTACGAAGGTACACAACTGGTAACACACGTAGTCATGAACACACCACATCTCGTAGTTCTGTCTTTCTTATTTCTATCGTTGGGGTCAGGTGAAGTTCAAAAGCAAAAGCGTGGTAGAAAGGTAAACGATTATGCTGACAAGTCACTGTGGAAAAAGGAGTACGAGGAAGAACTCACGGATGCGATTATGTCATCGAGGAAAAAGGACAACATCACCAGGATAGTGCAGTCTGCTTCAATATCAGACAATGAGGTTGTCATCGATAAACTTATGGAAACTATAAGTTCTAGTGAAAAGTATTTGAAGAAAGTAGATAGCATCGACTTTAGACTGAATAGATTAGACATAGAAGTCCACGAGAAGACCAACAACATCCTGAAGCAGATAGGAGAAATCATGAAGGTCATACGCACTGAGTATCCTGATAAGTTCGAAGCTTCACTGGATGCACTGAAAAGTCAATTGAATCAAATTAAGTTCCTTTTGGAGAAACCACCTCGGAATGAAAACATTGGTAACCATACTTAAGCTTTAACACGTCATCATTTTATTTTGGTTTTGATATATGTAAGATAATATTTGTCTATGAATACGAAATACAACAATAGATTTGACAATAACCGATAGTAGGTATCGAGCCACTACCGTGCCGTTTCGAATACATCGCAATCATTTTAGGATGTACCTACCACTTCTAAAGTCTCTTGCTATTTACCAATACTTCATCGATCTATGCACAATTTCTAAGATATTTGGGACGTGCTTTTCTTCGCCAGCTTTTTGAAAAAGATAGATTTTAATTATATTTCAATTGGTTTATAACAAATAAATAAATAGCAAATGAGATGTCACTGAAAAATAATGTGAAAACCATAATATATTTCTAAGGAAAATATTCTTAATTGACAAAATGCTTAATAAAACCTACAAAAATAGAACCGACTTCAAACTTAAAAAAAAACGATAAATAATACTTATCATAGTCTATCATTTAATTAATAACCTACAGGATACCTCCGCCCAAGTTCATTAACACTTTCTTGAATAAGTCGCTTTTAAGATAAGTATTATTGATCAGTTTTTAAAGTTTAAAGTCAGTTCTATTTTTTACATTAAAAAAAGAAAATCTAAATAAAAATTCAACAAAGACTTAGAAAAGGAGATTTTGTTTATTTACTTAATATATTTTTTTCCAATAATCTATATTCATATTTTAAACAGGAAAGATTTGATTGCTTCTTTGTTTGTATTGGATAAGCCCCGAAACTATGAGATTTATAAAAGCCTACATCTACATAAAACCAACGCCCGTCTTTAATAGCAGTCCCTTGAATATTAAGTCCCTTTTTAGATACGCATTAATTCTACACTTGAAAAAAATGTGTATTGATCTTTCTGTTTTCACAGCAGAAGGTCACGACTATAACAGTGACTTTGATAACCGGTTATCGATGATGGACGGCAACATAAAGAACTTGGTGGCAGGCATGGAGTCGATCCTCGCTACCATATCGGAAGTGAAGAACCGGCAATATACAAGGAACTATGTTAAGTAGGTTATATCGCTTCTCTAAAAATAATATTTTATTATTAATGAAAAAAAATAAAAATCCACATTATCCCAGGACCAAAGTACCAGGGGCAAAGAATATTTTCCAGTATAGCATTGTAAAAATTGGTCAAATATAGTAACAAGAAAATTTGATTAAGATTACCTAACCTAGGTACGGTTGTGCTACGGCACGTAGGTACATACGAGCGGCAATAAGCTGCACGCGTAGCATGACAAACTCGAGAACATTTTGTCTACACTCAAATGTCACCTTTCTCAGGTGCGCCCATACTATATCTCACTCTCGACTCGAGAAACTGACAAATGAGTGTAGACAAAGAGTTTCTCGACTTTGTCATGCTACGCGTTCTGGACTCTACTTACTAGATTGACGGTTCTCAAACGTTTTTGGCGATAACCTTGAACTCTTTTGGAAACTATTTACACAGCACCCTAAAATAAAGTGAATGAATCGCACATCGGTTTCAAAGTATATCGCCATCTCTAAGTCCGGGTTCTATTTATTCTATTTAGTCGGGTTCTATTTACTATTTATAATTTTACATTATAAAATTTTCTCGATAAAATTAAATATACGCCTAACAGCTACATAAAAGAAAATAAGTGATGTATTTTAACAATCTTATACAGAGATAACCATCTTTATATTCAGCTTAAAATATAAAATATAGTTTTTTGTCAATTTTTACAACACTTTTTGCGAGTTTATTTATTTAAAACAGTTTTTACTATGCAATTTGACAAGATAGATAGGGAGTTTTCTTATCTTTACTCATGAATTGTGAATCCTCGTAAGCTTTTTTTTCATTTTTTTGTGTATAGAACGGAAGGGTCACCGTCAGCGGCAGCAGACGCGTTGGGCTTGATCAATGAATTCCGGAGAACATTGCATGAACAAAAGTCGAAGAAGTGCGACTGCAAGTAAGAATTTTATTTTCTGGAATTATTTGTTGTTATATATAAAAGTACCTTAACCACATATATATGCCTCAACTATGCGGTAGCGGCTATCCCACTTTTGAGTGCATACTCGTAAATAATGCAAGCTTATTTTATTCAAAATATATTGAGTTGCGATAAATACCAATTCAAATAAATTGGTATTTATTGCTGATAAAGACTTTCATTAAGAACTTATGAATATATTATGCTCTGTTTTTCATCATAATCCAGAACCGGGAGATACGAACGCTCCGAACGATACCCTACAGATTGTCAAGAGATTCAGATGCAAGGATTCAATGCATCAGGCATATACAAAATTAAGCCAGAAGATTTGGACCCCTTCTACGCCCTCTGTGATCTGACCACAGCTGGGGGCGGCTGGACTGTGAGTAAATCGTCTAATGAATAATATAGTTGGTCAAAAATATGGTATAGACCACAGAGGTATAGACCTCTGTGCGACTTTAGGCAATTTCTAACTCAATGGAGGAGCGAACATGTGTGGAGTAATAGTCAGGGGTATTGACTATTCTCTCGCCCGTACCTAAACCGCATTAATAGTAAAAACAAGAAATCGAGAAAAACGCGCGTAAAGTATTTTATCTTTAACAAATCACTGTTTACAATCAAATTTTGAATGCAAGCGTAAGAAAAGTTAAATTACTAAAATACAAACAAAAACTTCAGGTTGAAAACATGAAAAATAAATCAATTATACCCATTACATTTTTTAACCCCTTTTACTGCTACTAATTATTTTGCTAAATCTTTTTATAAACTATTTAAAATCAATAAAACATTTTCAACAGTTTTGGTATTCTTTTAACTAAAATGCAATAAGTAGTCAAAATTACTTACTGCATATTAGGTGGTATCTTACTGTATCTGTACTTACTGTATCTTACGGTATTTTCCAATAAATTTACTAATTTTCCGCCTTGATTCTAAAAGAAATAGAAAATAAAATACTATTACTGGTCGTATAAAATAAATGATTAAGTTAGGCTTGTAGGGTGTGAATTGGGCTTTCAGGTATATGAAAAACTCAAAAATGCAAATTTTGCTGTTACTGCGGTTTAGGCTCGGGAAGGCAATGTTGAGCACTTTTTATTTGCGAGTGTTGCAAGATATTGCAGGCATAAAAATGCCAAATTTGCTAAATATTGTACGAGTAATTTTATTTAATTATCATGCCAATTCATATATCCTTATTCAGGTAATCCAAAACAGATTCGATGGTAGCCAAGATTTCTACAAAAGCTGGTCTGACTATAAACATGGATTTGGCAATTTGGCAGGAGAATTCTGGTTGGGACTAGAAAAACTTAACTATTTAACTAATCAGAAATTGTATGAGTTGAGAATAGAAATGGAAACCCAGCACGGCCAGGAAGCATACGCTGCCTACTCAGTCTTCACAGTGGGTCCTGAACATGAGGGTTACAGGATCAGCACCCTTGGAACCTTTTATGGCACTGCAGGTATTTGCTCTGTCGTATGTAGTTTATTTGAAAAGTTATTTTGCTTAAGCTCATTAATTTTTAGTTACTCTGTCAGATCCTACAAATAAATCCAGTATTATGGGTGTATAATTAATTCTGTAAAATCGTATTTTGGTCTAATATTCGAGAACTTTATCGGGAATATTCGGGAACTTCATGATCCTTATAATATACGCCTTTTATATAAAAGGCGTATCAAAAGTCGGTCAGTCTACTGTAAAGGACGTCGGAGTTATATTGGACTCTAAATTGAGTTTTATTCCACATTATGATTACATCATTGCAAAGGTGTTTTTTTAGGTTTGGGAATAAATGAAAGTCTGAAGGTGCCAACTCAGGGGAATAGGCGGGATGGGGCAGTAATTCAAAGCCACAATCACGAATTTGAGCCATAGATTCAACAGATGTGTGAACGCGTGCATTATCCTGATGGAACAACACTTTCTTGCTGAGTAATCCTGGCCTTTTCTCTTTGTTTCGCGCAAGCGACGTAAGTGGGTGCAGTAATAAGCCGAGTTTATAGTTTCACCTTTTGCAAGGTAGTCCACCATGATGACACCCTTAGCATCCCAAAATACTGACGCCATCACCTTGCCAGCTGACAAAATTGTTTTGGTTTTCTTTGGAGTTGGTTCATCACGTTTTTTCCACTGCTTGGATTGCTGTTTTGACACTGAGGTGTAGTGGTATTCCCAAGTTTCATTCATTGTTACAAATCTGGATAAAAAATCTTGTGGATCAGCCTCAAACATTTCCAAACAATCGCGAGTTATCGTGAGGCGTATTCGTTTTTGTTCACTGAAAGCAACCTGGGTACCCCGCGCAGAAACCTTAGAAAATCCAAGTTCATTTACTATGATTTTTTGTGTTCGTTCATACGAGATGCCAATCTGCAATCTCCCTGATGCTCAATCTCCGATCTGTCAATATCAGATCACAAATTTTCCCGATGTTTTCTTCAGTCGTAGACGTCATAGGACGGCCAGAGCGAGGGTCATCTTCCGCGTTTAAGTTCAGCAACCCACTTTTTCACAGTCGTATACGACGGAGCAGATTCCCCCAATGTTGTTAACATATCTTCGTGAATCTCTTTTGGAGTTAGTTTTTTTTTTAACAGGCATTTGATGACAGCACGTTGCTCAATTTTCTCCATTCTTTAAAAATGCTGCACAAAGACTCACAAAATTCACTCTAATTTAAATACAGTTAATGCTATTGCGATAGAATTTTACAATTTGACAACCAGAGAGTAAACTAATCGAATGAGGTCAGTTACATTAAAATAGTTTAAGTATTTATGTGTTAGGCTGCGAACTTTTCAATCCACCTAGTATCATTATAGTTTGATATTTACTGTTGTTTTATTGTAGAACAGAGTTGCGTTCAGTTGTCATTAGAGTGCAAAGCTTTGTGTTTAAATATAATTCTAAAACTACTATTTGTATTTTGTGGTTGTGCCATTAAATAAATAAATCAATTTATCGTAATGTTACTTACCATTTTACATTGGTCCCATTTTACATCATTAACATGTTACCTAGGTATCATTTTTATATTACCTAGCCAATTAAAGATTTGCTTTTGTATTCGTAACAACACACACAAATACAAAGAGAGAAAGTGAGAGATAGAGTGTGTGAGAGAGAGTGTATGTGTGAGAGAGAGTGTATGTGTGAGAGAGAGAGACATAGTTATTAGATACAGTACATTTAACAATATTTCTAATTTTTAGGGGATTCTTTAGCGTACCATGCAGGTCAAAAATTTTCGACTTTCGATATAGACAATGACGAATGGAAAGATGGCGCTTGCGCAACTGAACACGGTGGTGCATGGTGGTACAAGCAATGCGACAAAAGGTAATTAAAGTGGGCGCTCTTCGGTTCCCACTCTTGCTCAGGTAATTAATATCCTGAGAATAGCCGTATAAGTCAAGTGTTGAGGGCAGTCCTTCAACATAATTCCCACTTTTCTTTACTTAACCTAAATCAAACCAATATTTTCTTTTCTTTTCTTTTCAGTAACCTCAACGGCAAATACTTAACGTCAGCAGAAGATCATAGAAGTCAATCAATTTATTGGATTTCGTTTAAAGGTCCCAACTCGCCATTATCTAAGACTAGGATGATGATTAGACCACTACCGGCCAGCAAGCCTGTCGACTACTCGGACAATTTCAAAAGGGTAATGTCATTATAAAATTACCAATATTAAAAGTTTATCAATTTACTTACATATCTATCATTTCACTTCTTGTATGTAGACAACACGGCAATTATTTTCACTGGAAAGACTTGGAACGATGCACAGAAAGCCACTGAGAAAGGATTGACTCAAATAGCTGCCTTGGCTTGACTCTAACCTGTTATCTATTAATATTCAGAAAACTGACTACATCTGCTTCTCAATGTATATGTGCACTCAACCCTCATCTAACTTTCAAATCAAGATACACAAATGCGCAAATTCTTCTTTGATACAATGCCCTTGTACTCCCATAACCAAAGTGGAGTCAACAAAATATCTGGGCATAATAATAGACCAACGCATTTCTTGGCATGAATATATTGAACTTATTATAAATAGGGTGCAGAAAATGATATGGATATTTAAGATATTGAGACATATTGCAAACAAAAATCTTTTGCGACAAATTTATATTTCCTTAGCCCAGTCTGTGATAACGTACTGCCTTCCCATTTGGGGTGGAGCTACGAAGACAAAATTCATAGAATTAGAAAGAGACGATTTTTTTTTCTTTTTCTTTTATTTTATAATGCGATTTTTGTTTTGTAATGATATAAAAATGTAACAATTTACCTAAAATGAAATGTTAGTACAATTTTTAAGATATGGAAGAGCGGATCGTCCTATCGCAAGCAATTTTTTGCTCAAAAAAACGTTCCATTTACTGTCAATTTTATGTACTATTCTGTTATCACAATAAACATTATTATTATTATTATCTAAAGTGCTATAAAGGTAAAAATAGCATATACCATTGAGCGCGGCGAAAACAACAGAGGGCGTTCGTTATTTTGTATTATTTATAACATTTTACTGAAATATTGACAAAAGTACTATATTGCTATTGATTAACTTCGAGCACAATGTTTTCACATCCATAAGTAACTCCTGAAGGTCCGTCTAGTCTATACTAATATTATTGTTTGTTTTGAATACAGTCCGAAACTAGAAATCAAGCTTAAGAATGAGTGACTTATTTAATTGCAGAAAAATGTAGAAAGTAATAAACTAAGAGGACATCACCACTCTTCTGCTAACACAAGATCGAGGGACATGAAGCCAGCATATGAGCCCAGCCGATCACCGTACCGGTATGAAGAACCAACACACGCAGATGCTTTCTTCCCCAACTACGCCTGAACTACCTACAAAACGATCAATGACAATACGAGACTCCACCCTCTAGCAATACTGACATAACAAAAATCTAAGGTAATTGCAATAAATGATTAAAAAGTTCAACTAAACATTAGAGGTGGAAACACAACTCGCGCTCGGATATAAAAACAACTATTATCGCGCAGAAGGCCTTTATTTTAACGCAGGCGAAATGCAACCTTAAGCCTTAAACCAGGGCTCTCCGACCCCTCATTCGTCCTTCCTGAAGGGAAGAGACAGCGAGGCTCGCCTACTCGGTTTAACCCGCTGCGTAATAGGATCAGGCAAGGAGCGCGACGTGTCCTTGCGCAGAAGACCCTACAAATTCCAATGATGACTTAATTTATGACAGGAAATTATAAACAGCATTTTTTTATGACTATTGGTCAGTTACACAAACGTCCATTAGGATTTTACGACGCCTTTAAGATCTAATGAATGTCAAATTTGTATGGGTAATGTCGCTTTAAATTATTTTAACTTTAATGGACGTTTATGCAACTAGCTGTATAAGATGTAAAGTATACCTACCTATGTTCTTTCTGAAAACACACTCAAAATGGATGAGGGCTGAAGGTTGCTCTATTTTATAGATCACTATTTGCCGTGCCTTGAAATTAAGCCTTATATGCAGACAAGAGAGTGGTCAGTCAACAACTACACGTTTGGATTAAGTCGCCATATTGATGAAGTCGCCAAAAATTTGCCAACTGGCATCCATGAATCATTTGGCAATTTTGTTGGATATACCTTGCCTTCTTGCCTTCCTAATAATATATGGTTCTAAGTCCCGAATTATTTCTATGTTTTGGTCTTTTTTGATGTGGCAAATCAAGTTTTTTTTTTATTATTTTAATATGAATAACAAACTTTAAGCAGCTTTAATGAAATTTCTTGTATTATGATAATTTCATCACTTCTGCAGATGTGTTAACAATAATTTGAATGCTACCGTTAATGTTATAATTTTATTGATTGTACATAATTATAATACGTATATTTAATAGATTTAAGCAAAAAGCTCCTGTTTTATTCATAGAAATTTAATTGACATAGCTGTTATTTTAACTGAGGATATATGTTGGATATTTTACATTAAATTAAAACATAAATATATATAATAGGAATATTTAATTACATTATTTAAATCATAAAAATTGACTAGTGTTAAATTTGTATATTTTTATTATTTATTAAGAGAATTGTTAAAAATGTATTGTCATCATTACTCTTTTTAAAAGAATTGCAATTATATTTTTACAATTTTAATTAAGCTAGATATTTTTTAGATTATAGAGCTAAGGCAATAAGAATTGGCAATAATATTATTACTCGATTTATTAATGTCACAGTCAAAAAGTTAAAAACGCCGTTCAGTTGATCAGCCGAGGAAGTCGGACAGTAATAATATAAAAAAAATTATTGCGTTTGGTTAAAAAGTTCATAAAGTTTATGTATATTTTTAAATCAATAAACAGATTTTTTTTTCAGTTAAACAATGTTTGCCTATTCAAAACAGTGCAAAAATGAAGTATTGGTTGTAACTGGTTGTTAAATTTAGATGAATAATTGCCTTAAATAAAAATAGCTTTTAAACTTATGAGGAAGTATTTAAAAAGTTATTCTCGAAATCAAAATGGATTTCCTTAGACTTTATCAATTATAATATAAAATCAATAACTCGTCGTCACATTTTATATCTCTTCGTTTATCATTTAAGGTCTAAGCTTAGATAAATATAAAATAAAAATTGGAAACTGTTCTTTGTTATGCGTAAGGTAACGAAAATTACAGTCTTAGAAATGTTTAGAATATTATACCGCCATCTAGTGAGACAAAACAAACTACTCAAATAGTAGTTTGTTTTTTTAATACTTCTTCATTATAATTTACTCTAGCATATATTACCATGGGTTACCTTTGATTACTGTTTTCATTATCTATATCTGAAATTGTCTATATCATATGTATGTAGTAGTTAGACATGTTTATATAATAATTTAAGCACTTATGTTAGGACACTTATTCGTCGTTTGCGTGAATGTATTATCCACATTGTAATTTTTCATTTCATTTCTGTGGAGCAACACTGTATGTTACATTATTTGAATTTTGCTTATGCTTAACTCAAACCAATAATTTTTAAATCTGAAAAAAGTAGGTTAACAATTTGAATTAGAAATATGTCCAAAGAGATATTATAGAAACAGTTGAGAAGCCAGGCCTCCAGCTGTTCCTCGGTTTGAAAGAGAGAGAAGATCGCAGTACCCTATCTGATGTTTCTCTCAACTCGTGCATGCAGTTATCACTAAACGGGACACAGCAGCACAATTCGGCGGTTACGTCTTTTACTGTGCATGCATCAATAGAAGGAGACAAATATTCCACCTATAATCGAAGCATAGACAGGCTGTATGCCTACCCTAAATAGTTTTAACGTGGTACGTCACTTTCTCAAAGTGTCATCTCGAAAAAGTTGCAGAAAGTCATTTTCTGAAAGTGATTTTTCTCAGAAAGTTTTTTAGCAAAACACAATTTCGCACAATATCACTTTCGCAGTCTTTCAAAAAATTCATTAATATTAAGAAAATTAACACAATTAGTCCCTACATAAAACATTTATTTTATACTATTTTTCCGCCACAGGCTTCGCCTTAGGTCCCATGCTCAGAAATATCCGCATACCAAATTTCATCAAAATCCGTTCAGTAGTTTTTGCGTGAAGAAAGAACAAACATCCAAACTTTCGCCTTTACAATATTATTGGAACTTTATAATAATATTAGTAAGTATCTTATGTTACCCAAGTCTTGACCGTTTCTAAAGTTTAATAGGAACGGTTTGTACCAATGTCGTAACTTTTAATACATCATTGGTTTGTTCCACAAAAAAGTAACAACGCAGATGAATCATAATGACTACTAAAAGTCAGTTCGTTACTAAAAATCGAAAATATTATTCTTCTTTTTCTTTAAATCGTGATTATATATAATAATAATATTTCATATCATTTTCATCATGACTCATTTTTTGCTTTGTTTTGGTATTATTTTAGAAATTCTTTAGAACATTTTGAACTTGCATGTTTATATTGTTACACAATAAGATGGATTTTAAATAAAAACGAATGTATATCAGTCTCATTTGTTTTATTTTACTAATTTAGACGTGAACAATATATTTACATAGAGTTGAGCAATGTCAACAATAAATTGAACATCACCTAGACCAAAAAGCTGCTTCTTGTAGTAGTAACCTGTCAGTAAATTAACGAAATGTAAAAAACTTACATACGTCACCCATTAATACGCATGTATACATGTACACTAGCAAATATACAGCCCACGTCACGTGATGTTAAACAAAACTGTTAAACAAAATTTCTCCACTTTAAGGGGAGAGTTCAAAATCAAGTATGGATAATTTAAACATTCTGGCGACGTGACGTGTTGCTGTGTGTACAAGTGGTTCAGAATATTTTGATGACATTATTTCATAGATATGTACTCGGAATGTTGCGCACATAACGGGAAACAGATCGTTCAATTAAAAACATTACAATAAATTTTGCGTTTGTCGTTATACACAACGGTAAGTAGCATACCAGTTATTGACGTAATATATTATGTAATACGTTCTCATCTATCCGTTAAGTTTTTTCACTAGTTACCAGTGGCGTAGCGAACCTTGGCCCTGTATCTAAATTAGTTAGAAGGCCCAATTGGAGAACTTTTTTTAGCTTAAAACCGCAAGGGGCCCCTTCAGCCCGGGGTCCCCGGGCCTTTGATGAGGGGTCGCTATGCCCCTGCTTGTTAAGACTCAGTAACCTACGAAGCGAGCTTTTATTGCATATTAATGATTATTTCGATTACACAACGCTTTTCGTGATTTGCTTATATATTAACTATTCCAATATATGTTTTAATAAATAAGAGTGTGATTACTTACACTTACACACACAAACATAAATGGAGACAAAAAGAAACCGATGTTCTTTTGGCAAAAAAAATGAGGTTTATCCAGGCCAAGTTCATAATTGAAAGTACAGTTTTAAAATTATAAGTACCTATTTCTTGTTGAAATAAAATATTCACATCACTGATTAATGAACTATTTATTTTGAAATGGCAGTGTGTATAGTGATTCTCGAAAAATGCACAAAGTCCTTATAAACCCAACCTCTAACTTAAATACATAAAAAAAAAATACAGAAAGCTCATCTTACCTACATAAAATATCGTAAAAATTAATTAGTTAATACTTTTAATATTTAACATATAAGACGGCCATTATTTTATATATGACCAAGCATTTTTTAAGACAAAACAATAATAATAGTATATGAAACCATTTCATAATATTAATTTAATCGCTAAGAATATTAATTTCAAAATATTAAAAATATTTCCAAAATACTATCAACTATTTAATTACATTACCGTTAATTTCCAGAACTTATTGTATGATATTATTTACTGACCTGTTCTCGGTATAGATCATGTTAACAATCTTTATTTTATATACAAAAAAGGACTAAAACGCGTGTATAATATGCGCAATATCTTTATTTGGAATTGTCTAATATTTACAATGTTCAATTTATTTTACAAATCGGTAGTGTACCCAAATATTACGCTATGAAACCTATCGTAACTTATTCATTCGAGACTTAACCGTTTGTTAAAAAGTTTAGACAATTTCGTTGACGGTCACTTATTAAATCCTATTTACACTGGGATCGTGAAAAAAAGGAGGCTTAACCCAAATTGAACTAATTAGCACCATGTGTTTAGTTTGTTACATGAATACATTTTTTTTTTATGAAAACAATTATCGTTCATAAAATAAATAAACGATTGCACCCCAACTATCTCAAAGTCTTAAGGTATAGTACACTACATAACAATTTTAAATTGTACAGTTCAATCAAAGTAACATGTGACTCGCAATAATTAATAAGAATACAATTATAGTTATATAAATTACCTATAACAACTAAAATTAACGTACCTTCAAATAATTAATCCTACCTTATTGTCTACATATACTATTATTAGATAATGAGTAAAACTAATTCTATACTCAAATACACTGATAGAGTTAAAAATGTACACTTAACTGAGTTGAAAAACTTTTTAAATAAATTCAACACACCTCCCTGGTAAAGATAGTCATTTGGTAACAATAGCAAAGGTCGTAATACACCCATGACCAGTGAGCGGAGTTGGTAAATCGAATTGGTGTCATTGATTAGAAACATATACATTAACATGGACATCCCTCCGGAATCGGGTGAAAATTATTTTTTATTTCCGGAAATTACGTAACAAACATAAGTTCTGATTATTAAACATAAATCAAAATCTAATAGCAATAGATTAAATAGTAGTAGGGTAATAGGTCAAATAGTTGTAGGATAAATAGTTTAAATACCATGTTTTCTATTATTAATTGAGTAATAACGTGTAGAATCCGGAGACGTTCTAGTCCTGTTATTGATTGTATGAAGGTTTAAAAGTACCAAAATCCAGTGTACATACTTCGATCACTGATTACGCTATACATAAGTAAAACTATATGTACATAAAGAAATTGTTGTGACAATAAGCAAAACGACACTAAACCAAGTTATGATAAAAAAAAAACAGTGAGATGGGATATTGTAGTGTAATAAATTCGTTGTTAATCACAGCCCACTATAGTGGGCATAGAAAACCATTAAAACCTCAAACGCAACTGGCTAGACTTAAATTTGAGAAGGTAAATTCCTTTTTTTTTAAGTTTAGAACTGAAACGTTTCAGTTTAGAACTAAAAATTAACTTATTCAAGCAAAAGTGGAAAATTCTTGAGAAAAAGTAATCATTTCATTTTTGTCACGTTATGATTATTAATTAAACGTACCTACCAACTTATAATCGCGTCTATTATCTAAAGGAAAATCACAAACAGAAAATTTTAGTTTTTTACGCTACATACCTATTATATGCTAAACTCAAATCTTATATGTTCAAGATGCAGAGCGAAGGTTTACCTAAATATCAAAGTCTAAAAGTATATATTTATAATACGATTATTGAACGAAACTTGCAAACGTGTATCCGTTTGCAAGTTTCGTATTTATATATATTTATTGCTTTGATTACAATACGGTGCCACCGAAATGATGATACTTTTGTATGACGGCTTTTTATTGATTTCACTTAATACTTTACACACAATTTTCATAAAACATTGCAAAGTGACTTAAAACTGTGTGAAAAATAAAAGGGACACTAACTCATAATTAGTGCTAAGACAATAGGAATTTGATATTTCGGTAATTTAATTCAAAACAAACTTGTTCGCGCAACGTCATGAACATAATTTTAACTTACAATATCTGTAATTTTAAGTACGTGCGCATTTACTGTACATTGGATCTCCTAATGTGAAATTATCTTTAAATTATAAAATATTTGGACATCAATCATAGTTATTTGTCTCAGATAATTTCTCAATATAAGTATATACGTTGATTAAATACACATTTGAGTACTTACGCTCAGATCGCACTGCAATTAAACGTAAGTATGAAAGTATGCGGTTTTGTAATACGTAGCCTCGTATACAAGACCACGCATTAGCTCACTGGAACCGCGAACCGCATCGTATGCGGTCTTAGCCTTATATAATAAAACACATGATGACAAAATTCATAATTATATATGTGACAGTTGATTTAAGTTGATCCAATACGTATATCGCTTATATCTAAGTAGGCGGAACTTTCGACATTTGTCCTAAGTGCACCATGCGGGCTTATTTTCGAGACAACAGCATATAAGACATTGCAGTCAAAAGTCAGAACCGATTTCATTGAGTACATAATTAAGTAATATCATATTGTACTAGTAACAAAATGATATAAGTACAATTATAAAGAAAAAAGAATATTTTAAGTATGGAAATTTGCAGTCTAATTTCTTAGAAACTTTATCTTTTTTAAACCTAAATGTCATGACTCATTGTCATTTACATATTTGTCAGAATAGCCAATGCAAACCCTGGATTCGTACATTTAATTGTACAAACTACCGGCATACAAGGTTACTATAATAGACAAATTTCTACAATCAATTGTGAACTTAATTGCCCACAGATTAAGGCGTAGAATTTAAACCTGACGTAATTTTGTTACTATATTAAATTCTATTGCAATTAAAGATTTAAAAAGACACAAACTAATTGTTTGATCTTACCTCTATTTTCCTAAATAGTAAGAAAACCAAGTCTTATGAACATGAATATATTATTGTCATGTTACGTACTTAATCGATTCGTGTGCAGCCAGAAAATAAGCCCTGATGTAAGACGAATTTAAAGTGGTTAATTGAAAAGCGTTAGCATATTCTCAATTATTTTCCTTACGAATAGCACGTATACAACAATGAAATTATACTACTAAAGAATTAAATGCTTAGTTGTTATAAATTAGAACTGTGTGATGTCTAAATTATACATTTACAGCTTATGATATATAAGAAAACTTTTATGTATATTTATAACATACAGAAAACTATTATTTAATGCAAAAGAAACTGATTTAAGTTCGTAAATGATGACCACAACTTTCACTTGAGCATTATCAACGTAAAAAATGGAGTTAAACAGTTCAATCGGTGCAGATGATAAGTTTATAAACACTTATGATATAAACGAACGTTAAATATATAAACAATTTAGTGGCATTCATAAGAGAAAACCAACTTTCAATTAATTATGAAGACTAACAAAATCATTACCCACTAATAATGTGAACACAGACTCATTAACTCTTTCTGTCCACGGGGAACAGAAACGGTAGAAAATCTGAAACAAGAGATCACATTTTTAACCACTTTCATATTTAATTATATTTTCAGCTAGAAGTTTCGTAAATTAATGAAATGTTGTCAATAACTATACTCATATAATAATTTAACATCTGACAACATTGTGATATACGTAGAACGATGTCGTAGGTAGGTTATTTATCCGCTAACTAACATTTGCGAATATATATATATATATATATATATATATATATTTCTTTACAAGAATTTTGATCTATTTGATCAATTTGGCATTCACAATGCTACACTGGAAAATCAACTTAATGAAAAATGCTTAAAAATTCACCCTGTCCCTGGTACTCTGAGATTCGCATCAAGAAAAAATGATGAAGTTTTATCTGTCAAAATTAAACACCATTTCAATGTTATGTCGTCGTATTCAAGTCAAAACTCTAGACCACGGATGGCGAACTATTGGCACGCGCGGCACAATATTTTGGACACATTGATCACGAAATTCAAGTTTGTTGTAATCTAATCTGCAATAACAGAACTCACATCAATTTTAAATTAATTTAGTTTACGGATGTAAAATATTCTTAATGAAATAATGCTTAAAAATCCACTTGGTTCCCTGGCACCCTGAGATGGGAATTGAATTCGTGACCTTTTGCAATCCGGGTCGTGGGATCGAATCCCATTTCAGGGTGCCAGGGACCAAGTGGATTTTTAAGCACTTTTTCATCAAGAATATTTTTCAGTTTAGCATTGTGAATACGAAATTTATATAATAATTACGCATAAATCTCTTTGGGGTAGATAAAGAGTGTAGACTTGACAGTATTTATTATTATTATTTTTCTAATAATTACAAAGTCAAAATTATTTGATGACACGCCTATGAACTCATTTATTAGTTACTAAAAATAGCACGTCGATAAAAGTTTGCCATCCCTGCTCTAAACTGTTATTGTTTGTATGAGCGTTTATGATAAAATCAAGAAAAACCAATGTTCATAGTTTGATCACTAATTAAATAAATAATAAACAGTAGCTGTGACAATAAATAAAACGACACTAAGCCAAATTATGATTAAAAAAACTGAAATTGGATATACGCACACTACAATTAATGTTATAAATTCATTGTTAATCACAGCCCACTATAGTGGGCATTGAAAACCATTCAAGCATGCTAGATTTAAATTTGAGAAGGTTAATTCCTGGGCTCTAAAACCACATTTTTTAGTTTTGAACTGAGACTATTGAACGATACTTGCAAATGGAAACATATTTATTAATTGATTGATTGATTACATTATGGTGACACCGTAACGATGATACTTTTGTACGACGGCTTATAATTGATTTCACATAACACGGCCACACAGTATATAGTCTGTGGCCCTTATATAGTCTGTGCCACTGTATACTGACCTCAGTCATGATCTTGGGTGGTCTGCTCGCTCTCCGGTCGTAGCGAGTCGATGCAGGCGACTATCTTTAGCGCGGGCCCGAGTTTCATTGAGAGCGCCATCACTAAGTGTTCAGGGCGTATCAGTAACAAAGCTTCGCCGTCCACCTCCTGCATAAGAAACTCGTCCGCGTACCCGGCGCATCCAGGTATGCTGCGAATGAAATCGCATACTTCCGCCACCTGTAATAAATTCGTAGAATAAACTAGAACAGTAGTTTTAACCGGTGGTCTGCGCACTACTATTAATCAATGGAACTATCCCAAGTGGTGCGTTAAACAAATATTATAGTATAAAGTCAAATATTATAGTATAAAGTATAGTATAGATACAATAACTCTTTAAAGTATAGATACATAAAATTCATTATGTGTCCGAATGGGGTATTCTACTCTGTTTGAAATAATACTTGTAATTGTTTATTTTAACTTAAAAAGCCATAAAACAAATATTTCGCAAAAATAAACACATTTTCAAACCCAAAAATTAAATCAAAATTTACACTTTTTTATACCCGCGAAAACGCTGTCTGTCATATTCGTGACGTCACTCTGATATGTACACAATACAGATGCATAGAGTAGAAGAGTAAAATATGTCTGTGACGCATATCTTAATGACTAATATGACAGCTATCACCACAGTGACGTCATACAGTGGGGGGGTCATGTTTCAAGTCACGTGACACACGTGACTTTTAATTATGATTAACATAATTATGCGATTTTAAGACTCCAAATCAGAATCTCTAGTTTATTACGTTACATCGTAATAATGTTTCACTACTCTGCGAATGTTAATGGTGTTGTACAGTAAACAGCCGTACTGCATAGAGAACGCTATAGTTGTTTATAGATATAGCACAGTCACCGAACAGAAGGAATTTCGTACGATGACCTTAATTCCTATATATGAGATATATCGTTAACATTAGAGGTGTCGTAAATATAAAGAGAATTTACTAAGACAACATTGGCTAGATGCCAATCCGTGGGAGTGCAATGGCCATATAGAACTTACAGTCCACTTGTTAGCGTTCGGTATCTTAGGATGGTCATCGGGTGTGGTGGCAGTGTCAGCGGGTTCACTGCTCGCCGCTGTCGCTGCCGCTGCCGCTTCCGTTTTTGCCGAGCCTTGGGTCTCCCCGCTTTCGTGACTCGAACTAATGCGTGATAACGCTGATGATGTATCTGACAACTTTTGCTTCTTGCCTAGTAGAATAAAAATAATCCTATTAATATTATAAAGGCGAAAGTTTGTAAGTATGGATGTATGGATGTTTGTTACTCTTTCACGAAAAAACTACTGGACGGATTTGGATAAAACTTTACAGCAATATAGGTTATACATCAGAATAACACATAGGGTACTTTTTACTGGGAAAACTTCTCACTCCCACGGGATACCGACTTCCACGCGGACGAAGTCGCGGGCGTCCACTAGTGTACTCTATATGTAAATGCATATCAATCCTCATAGACCGCGACGAGGAAAGCGAAATAAAGTTCTTTACATGAAAACATATGTATAATATATACGACCGCCCTTAGTAGGCCAATAGGGCCAATTACAATCTAGAAATAAATAAAATTTTCTAGATTTCCCCTCGCAAACGCCACTTCTGAAACGAATGTCATTCGTTCTATGTATAAGGTTGAATTCTCTAAGTACTGACATGAGTAAAAGGGTCGTGACGCTACGGGCCGTTTACAGTCACATGACAACGAGCATAAAATATTTGTTTTTTGCATAATTAATTTAAGCAATATTATAAAAATATAATAAGCATAAAGGTGTGATTATCAGTAATAATATACAATATTAAACACTACCAGAAAAAAGATGTATATATTTTCGTTTACTATCTACACCCGTATTCTGCTAATGTTTACATAATAATTGCATCTATATAGAATCTCAACTTCTTGCATTTTGTCAATGTACTATCTATAGATGGGAGATTAAAAAATTATATCTCGAACTCCGTACTTCGGAAGGCACGTCAAACCATTGGTCCCGGTTGCATTTGCAGTCATTAATACCACCTAAACCGCATTAGGCCAGCGTGGAGGGTCATGGCCCATCCTCCTTAACCATCCTTGACCTTGAGACCTTGTACCGAGAAGAACCGGCAAGAAACTCAGGCAAGAGTTGCTTTTTTCTCCCTGTTTTATTTCATGCACAGCGACAAGAAAAAATAATAAATACTTACGTGGTGGATCATCAGATGAAGGCAATTTATTTTCTTTGTCTTGGTCTTTATCAGTTGTTCCCCATTCACGAAGTGGACGGTTAACCTGTAAGTTATAATTGCATATATAATTTACATGTAAAAATTCACCGTAGTAGATTCAGGCCACTGGGAACGTTCAATGGTGGGAGCAAACATTATCAAAACATCCATTTCTGTATAATTATGTCGACAGGTGAATAACCCGATTGTAAAGTAAATATTCATTTTGTAGCTGTCTGATATAAATCTATTACTATTACTGTAGCTATATATTACAGTCGTAATCCGGTCACGTGGTCAGATTATGCTGTATTCACAGTGGCTTGCTATACTTGAATTTAAAGAGACTCTTAATATTAAAAAATCCTGTGAGCCTATCATCGTCTAAAAAATATCTTTGAATGAAGTCTTTTTTTAAATTGGTCAATAATAACGCTGTCATTTTACTTGGAGCTGTGTATTCGATAAATGTGCTTAATGTAGATATTCAGTTGCCCTTGAAACTGCCTGATGCTTTGCTTGTATAAGCTTTGAAGACTTTCTTGCTTTCTCAATTCAGAAGTTACATTAAGTTCGTGACATGACACGACACTTACAAAACACTATTAAATTAATTATATTATTAAACAAAAATTGGAGATTAAAAAACACAAGCGAAATTCTTAAGACGTTTTAAAAAGATACAGTGGCGACATCAGCTAAATACAACATTTTTGTTTACATAACCAACATACGTGCGGCATGCGATATTGGCGACAACGATTGTACCGATTCGAATTATTATATTTACTAATATGACAAACACTCTTATTACTATAATAGCAATGGTTTTGATATAAATAATTATATTATAATTAAAACATTCATCTGCCCGCACAATTTTTCACATAAAACAATACACTGATAACTATATATTTAAAGACTATAGTTGTTTGACATGTAACATATTAACACAGACTATACAGTTCTTACAGTCGGCTGAAGGGCACGTCTAGATAGATCAATAGTGAGGCGTGGTCTGGGTGAAAGGGGCGTGACAACGACCCCAAGTTGCCTTACACTCTCTCGGGATACGCCGATTATGATACACGTTCTATCAAGAATTGTCTTTAGTCATTTAATTTTTGTGACAATATAATGCTTCATATACATAAGTTGTGTGACACTTATGTTTGTTATAACTGAAAAAAACACATGCTATATCCATGAATAATATGCGGAATTGAATAATAATAAAAATTGTCCAGTAGTTCTCAAAGTTATTTTTATTATTGCAAGCCAAATACGTATATGTACCCTGAAATAAAGCACACTAGTTTTATATGTTCTGTATATATGCTGATCTACACAAAAGATTTTTAGCGCAACTTCAAACGCGTAGCCCACTGTAAGTTTTTACACTGTGCTATAACAACCATCTAAAGATAATTAATGCTTATTTAATACTCACAGCAAATGGCTCTCCTGCTTCCTGGATGACGTAACCTTCAATAACGTGAGTGAGGATATTGGGTTTCACCATTGCTTTCGGCAATCCCTTATCTAGAAAGGAAAAAACTACATGAATTATTTACTACATACTGTGTAAAACAAAATTATAAATTTCATTATAACCATAAAAAAATGTGCAATGATTACAACTTGTACTGTCTGTACAGTACAAGTATCTATATACTATATCACAATTTAATGTTGATCGAGATGAAAAGCAAAATTAAAAAAAATCGTGACAAAACTTGTTGTAATGAATTATTCGTCTACGAAGAAAGTATCGGTCTACAACAAAAAATTACATGTATCAGATATAAAAAGTTTAAATGGATGAGTGGAGTGACTAGACTGAATAAGGAAAGTACGGTTTTTCTTTTTTATTTAATGTAGCTGATTTATAACCGACCGTGTGCCGTCTGTTGGCTCATATGTCTCGGTGCACACTGTGGTCCTTTGAACATCGACGTGTTTCCTCCTGTGGTTACTGGCGCTGTGATAGACGGCGTTATTGTGGCTGACGACGAAGTCGACGACGCCATAGTAGTCACCACCTGCTTTCGGAAACATTAGTAAATTGTAATATGTAATAATAATAAATAAACAAATATTAGACAACATCACATACATTGCTCACATTCCAAGATGAGTAGCTAAAGCCACCATATTATGGAATATCTGAGACAACTAAGGAACCACAACACTCAGAACCTAGACAAATTTGAATTTCTACATTGACCCGACCGGGAATCAAACCCGAGACCTCAGAGATGGCGACACTAAAATAAGACAAATTGTTATTTATTAAACACTTAGAACCTCGCTATATTCCAAAGGATACTTTGAAGTCGAGTCCGACAAAACTGCGGGATATGCGCAAAACATTTTCTCGACATTAAAAAAGAAACTACATAGCCAAAATCTTAAAACCATGTTCTGTTATACGGGACCCCTTGACTAAATTAGTAGATGTCATAAAATTACATCTAAACTTTACATTTTCAAATTTCGCGCATTGGACGAGAATGCTGGAAGCCATGTTGCTCTGCAGTTGTGACATCACTTGGTTTTATAAACAAACTCGTTGCTATTGGCTTCTTACATTTCCATACGAGATTTGCAGTAAAAAGCTTGCCACGATAAGTGTTTATTATTGATAGATTTATGCGATCTTCTTTTACAAAACCCTGTTCCATAGTATTATTTTAAATGAATTTTTCTTTATTTCGTTATTAAAATATATATTTTTGAAATAACCTATATATACGAATTTACCTTACTTCAATCTTATTTTTCTTGTTAGTTTACTAACCCAATGACGTCATATCATGGCGGTTACGTTTCGCGTAATAAATTTGAATTTTAAAAATTAATTTCTTTATTTTATGAACTGTAACTAACATTTTCAAAAATATCCGAATATTGCGTAATATCTCCTGTTGGTATTGAAAGTTTATAAATGTGTAACAGTTATGTAATAGGTACAGTATAAAAATTGTCTGGAATACAAACTTGAGGGGTGGCGGGCGTGGTATGCTGCGCGCTACTGGTCACGATAGAAGCGGACGTGGGCGCGGTCGCGGTCGCCGCCGCCGTAGAGGAGGCGGAGGCGGGCGCGGCAGCTGAAGCGGCCGCGGGAGCGGAAGCGGTGGCGGGCTGCGCGACCGTCACAGCCACCGCTGCCGACGGCGGGGATTCCGTCGACGGTTCCACTTTCATGGGGCTCGGCTTCGTCTCTGAGCCAACGGTACATACATATGTTATACTTACGTAAAACGATCTGTCCGCAGAATAACGTTATATTTAAATTAAGATTGAAGTTCACTTTTAAACCCGAACTGCAAATTAGCATTCGGTGATATCACGCCAATCCGATTATGATCTAGACATATGAATCAAATATTGCTTTTACCAAGATTATCTGTCGCGTTAAATAAACTTTAAACAAGTGCAAATTAACAAATACTATATTTTGAATGAGTTTCCAATAAATTGACATAGATACTGCCAGATTAGTATACTTCAGTTACTTTCATAGTGTTATGTCGTACGGTATCCTATTGTGGGGAAATGCTGCCGACATACAAACAAAAAGAGCAATTCGATCAATTTATAATCTTAGGATTAGGGACTCTTTAAGGGAGAAATTTAAGGAAATAGACATTATGACTGTTTGCTTCTCAATACATATATGAGAACTTAATGTACGTTCGTAAAAATATTAGTTTGTTTTCTATAATAAAAAGTGATGTACACAATTTTAATACAAGAAATAAAAATAAATTAACGGTGCCTGTCACTAGACTGCAAAAAGTTAATAACTCATTCAAGGGTCTTTGTGTGCGCTTCTACAATAAGGTCCCAAGCAAAATACAACAATTAGATATCATGCAGTTTAAATCTACTATTAAAAATACTTATTGAAAAAGCTTATTATAAGGTATCCGATTATATAACAGATAAGAACGCTTGGACTTGAGATAATCCAATAACTGGATAGGTGATTAGTTCTAAACTCATTATTTTGTTTCCATTATTATTAAATGATTATGTTATCATTATAAGACCATAGTTTTTTTTTCTATCTCTGTTTATAATGTATTGGTCTGGTAATGACATGGTTTTTGTAAATGTCGTTACTGTTATTAGAGCTGGTGAGTTTGTTGCTCGTTCTTCTTATCGGCCAAAAGACGTCCTGAACGAGTGGTAGGGAAAAAATGTTGGACGATCCAAAAGTACTTTTAAGAAATCTATTTGAATAAAGATTATTTTGACTTTGACTTTGAATTAAATTTCGATTTCAAAGAAAACATAGATAAAAAAAAATTGTTACTTCAGTAATGAAAAGCAAAAGACTTTTTTGTAACTTACGAAATAATACATTTATAAAAACTAAATCTTACCAGTTGTGGATGCATTGATATTATCGCCCGTAGTATTGGCGATGGCGGTACCGAATGGTGTACTGGACGAAGGTTCAGTGGAGGTATCCGACGTCACCATCGGCTGAGGAGGAATCTGTTGTACGACTGGCGCCTGCTAATACAGATACAATTAGTATAATCGCTATGAATTGCAAGTAACAAAATATAAATTGGCAGATATAATAAAAATTCACGCTGTTAAAATTCAAACTTTTACTGTATCGTAATTTTATAAAAGAATTAAATAGCGAATATCAACAGCTTAGCAAGAACTCTATACGCGACAGTATTACTGTCCTGCTTACATTTAAGCAGTGTACGTGAGACGGATTACGAGCTTTCCAATATTATATTACATATCGCGTGACATGCGTTGTTCATGCTACAGAGACTGGACAGCTAAAGGTTTTATATCTACTTTTAAAAAATGAACTATCGAACGATCTTGTAAGAACACAGTTCCGTTCGTGGATTTTGTGTCAAAAGTCTCCGTAAAAAAGTAAAGAAAGGGGCTTACCACACTAGCAGGCGGCGCGATCGCTTGTCCTTTATCATCTTCGCTTTTAACGTGTGCCACTAGTGTAGTCTGTGGCTGCAACGGCAACACAGAGCCCGGCACCGGTCCGGCTATCAGACCCACAGTGCCTTGAGCCGATTGCAACGTCAACTGTGGCGAGTTTAAATTGTTGCCCGACACCTGTTTCATACAATTCAGCGTAAACACAATGTACTCATTGAAAACATATATTAATTACAATGATACAAAACATGAAAAGACTTTAGCAAGCAAATTAACTCATATCCCACTACTTAAAGATGTTTCAGCGACCTCAGAGTCGATACATATTTGATGGAAGCTGCGTCGCCTCTCGTCGTTCACGAAATGACAGAACTGACAAAATTATGTGATATTACATTCGAACTGAACGGAAATTCCGTCACGTATCAACTCATACTTCCGTAAGACGCTTGACGATCCTTCCGTCAGATTTGCACTGACCCTTACACTTTCTAAATTATTTAATACTGCTTTAGTTTCTTAAAGCTCTGTTCATATCATTTCAATATGAATTTCAATTGGAATTAAAAAGACAAAACACTGTATGACTACACAATGCAAAAACATTATTGATAGTAACACCTTAAATAAGTTTAATTGTTGACTTTACACTAGTGGGGATGTCGTAATTTGTGATTTTTTAGGTAAATTACCATTTCGACGAGCGATGCTGAATGAAAAGAGAGAGCATTGGAGCTACAAATGACTCTATCGACTCCGCCGATGGACGAAAAAATCAATCCAGTCCGCATCAATGGAGTATCAACCCAAGAGTTGTGAACTCTATTGCAAGGGTATCACTACATAAGAATATCCAATATACCTATATTTTCCATCAGTTTCACAATCTTAGTAAAACATATCCCATGTAAAAATTAGTTACTCGTACTCTGTTATTAGTATTTTTCCGTATGATTATTATAACAATTTATTTATTTCGCTTATGTATAAAAATTAATTGATGGACAGTAATTGGTGACACCTCTTAAATGCTACTCGTAAAATGATAGAAGATATGTCCTACAAGAGATAGTATATAAATTAGAAACTCAAATGAAAGTTTGATATAATATAGTAATAGAAACTTTATTGTAGGTACTGTAATAAAACCACTTCTAAAAATTGTTTTCATGCACTTAATCTAAAGCTCGACATCACTACTATCTTACCTGTGCTATAAAATCAAACCCATGCAATAAATTAAACACGTTTATTTAATTGTTATCTAGCTACATTTTGAAAAATAGTATACCGTCCCATGCAGTGAATATAAAACGTATGAGTGTAAAACAATATATTTAATGAATATACAACTCCTCAGGAGCTGTGTTACATTTGAGATACCATCTTGATGAAATATGACCATTCCATATAAATATAAATAAATTAATAAAGATAAAAATGTGAGAGTAGAACTACGTGACATACACAAGGGGTTTACTATCAACTTATAAATACGTTTCAAACGTAAGCCATTCTATATTCCATCTTAATGAGATTCAAATTGATTAGATTCAGAATTTATCAAACACGTCATATGGAGTGTGACCTTACTTCATAACTTTCTGACGGAGATAAAGTTTCCAGATTAACTTATCAAATTTAAAAGCATCATCATGTATTCACAAAAACTAAATCATCTGTTTAATGGCTATTAATAGTTGTAAACTGTATTAATGACTAATAGTAGTAAAAAATATGGGAGTATGATATGAGCTTGCATTTGAATCGCATGAATGATTGAATGTAAAACCCTAATCCCAAGTGTGAGTCTACCTCTTGGTGCAAAACCGCTGGGGAGACCTGAACGAGAGGCGTCGACAGCAGAGAAGCACCCTCGAGCGCGAGTCCCGACTGCCAACCGCCATTACCAAGCGCATATACATAATATATATTTACTTGGACGTAATAATAGAATGTCATATAATATTGTATTTACATGATAAACGGGGAACATAGTTATATAAATATTCACAACAATTTAATTATATATCTTATCACAAAGGTACCTTATTTACTCCGTAAGGTAAATATAGTATAGTACATTTATTTAAGACTGATATAGGCATTATATGCATTATATAAATTGTATAAAACTTAGTGATTTATGAAGCTTTTTATATATTGTTATTAGATATGAATATGATACAATTTGTGTTTAATTTGTAACTCATATCATGTGCAACACTCGTAGAAGCCTCTAAATTCATCGAACTAAAATAACTGTACACACGCAAACACTCTGATTTATCAATCCATCTCATAAACTACATCTAACAATCGGCATAGAAGGGCTGCAAGACAAATCGGGATCAGAATATCAAAACTGCAAGGTCGATATATACTAGCTAACCATACGGTTACTGCGAGAACCAGCATGTTAGTTTTAAGGAAAACTATTAAAATGTGTTATTAGTGGCATTGATAAATATCTAACAGTATGTTTGATAAAATATGAAAAATGCTAATGATAACACACATCATTTGTAGTAATAATGGTGAGAGGAAAATAGGATTGATTACATTAGGCACTCATTAAAAGCTATTACAACCAATTGAAATATAGTTAACCTACCGTTTGCATTGACGTGGCGTGAGCCAAACCTTGCTGTTGTTGCACTGCCATACCTACAGAAGTCTGCACTAGGCCATTACTGACTATAGTCTGTTGGCAAAAAGGTTGAAATATTTGAGTACGGAACTAAGTTCTCATATACATAAGCATTTATTAAAAACGTATAATAGCGACTCGGTGGTTACTTAAAGTATACAAGGTCATTTCATATAAACATTTTCCACTAAAACTGACATAACATTATCTCGGGAAGAATATGAAATTAAGAATGCAAACATGTACTATATAGCGCTTATATGAAGACTAAAAGACAAATATCCAATTGTCACAGACGCTTCCACCCGAACTTGGCAGAAGACTCAGATTCGAATCTTGCCTGAAGCGAATTTATTTCAAATATTTTTCTATTTAAATTTACATATTTCCTTGTAAAATATAAAATATGCTAGCTCATGACCCGCCATCACATTTTCACATTTACATTATAAGTTAAATAATTTGGAAGTCTGTAATAAATAAACAATAATCTTAAACATCACATACATAAATTTTCATTTATGTATGTGATGTTTAAGATTATTGTTTATTTATTACAGACTTCATAGCTTCATAGCGTTTTACTTTTGTTTTTCTTGAAGACTTAGGTGTTAACTGTCTTTAATTAAGAGTATAGCTTCAGAACAATACTATTGGACACATTCACAATATATTTCTTTTTAAATATTCCATGGAAACGTATACATTTAATAAATTAAATAATTAAAAACATACAGTGATCAAGGGCCCTGTTAAGGGTCTGAAACATCAATGAAAAAAAAATAAAACGTTTAAAAGTCGTTTCACTTATGGATAGTGCGCGTGAAAATATAAGAAATCAACATCACATATATGACAATGAAGGTACAACAACAGCCAGACCCAAGACAATATAAAAATAAAATATTTTTTAAAGTAACCCGACAGGGAATCGAACCCGGGACCTCAGTGATGGCGACGCGTTGAAACCGGCGTGTCAACCACTCGGCTACGGAGGACGGAGGTCGTAATATTGATATGGCTTACCTGTGGCTGCACCTGAGTGAGAGAAGCGTTCTGTTGTTGCTGTCCACTATTGATCTGTCCAACCAACGTTCCAGGCTGAGCCATCCCACTCAGCTGTGGTTGCAAAAGATAACAAAAAATAGATTCTCTTGAATAACTCGCTTTCGATATAAGTATTATTTTTTAAGTTTGAAGTTGGTTCTATTTCTTTGTTAGTTTTTATTTCGTGTTTTTTTTTTTTGTTATATTGATATATTTTATATAATAGGTAACACTAAAAATATACGTTATCAAAACAATAATATACATTTCAGTAAAATTTATTATAATGATTATCACTATTTGATGTAAAATAATTCATTGAAATAAATATTAATAATTATACAATATATCTGTCTATCATAAATGCAAATTAAGATTACTTACAGGATGTATTTGTTGGACCATCGATATAGTTTGCGGCATACCAGTCATCGGAATAGTTTGGGCCACAGAGCCGACTGGCAACGTGCCTGGCTGCATACTTAGCGTCATCCCTACATTGACAAGAAGAAATAGCCTTTTTACGCCTTGGATGGATGTTAAAGGAGGATGGGCCATGACCCTCCATTTGGCCCAATGCGGATTGAACGGTATTAACCACTGCAAGTGCTGCTGGGACCACCGGCTTAACGCGCTTTCCGAAGCACGGAATAGTTCGAGATCATGTTTTTTTGGTCACCCATCCCGTGACCGACCATTGCGTAAGAACAACAATATCGGGCCGCTACGCTTATCCGCTACACCAACGAGCTCAGAAAAATACAAGTGATACTAATATGTATGCTTTAAGCCTGTGACATAAAAGTAACAATTCTAGTTCAGTCTGGCTCAGTAAACGAAAATAGGTATCGAAGCTGATATTTACAAAGTAAACAAATAGTTTTACAGATGAGAAATTTCAGTTAAATTTTACGTTTGTATTTATATCTACTCTGGTTTTGTTTATAAAATGAGCTTCAAATTGTATGTATAAATATAAATTTTGCGTATCTCTAATAACACAGTTTTGACATAACAGCTTCCTGCTTACACGTGACGTCACACGCCGGTAAACAGAATATGTGATTGGTTGAGACAACAAACAACTACAAAGTGTTTTCCTCGTTCATTAAATTCCAAAAAATGTTGTATTTTCTTTACGTTATTTTACTAAAGCTAAATATATTTTATCTGTAGATTTTAAGAAATAGACTGTATTAGATTATTATCTAACATGATGACCACAACATCCAATTTCAATAGTGTCAAATACCCTAACTGCAAATGCACTATTTTAGGTTTTTATTATTATCCCGACTATGCCTGCGCAGTGGACGCCCACTATAAACTGTATATTAGGAAACCCTGTGCAACACAAAAAGGGCAAATAAGAATATATTAATCTACCGGTTAAAGGGGCAAAGTTATATAGTGATCATGCAATAACATTAGAATTGATAATGTCTACAAGCTAACGTGTAAATGTATTAATGTACCTTGCTGTTGATAATGCTGTACCATCTGCTGCGTTTGTTGCTGTTGTTGATGCAATAACTGCTGTTGTTGCTGTTGCTGTTGCTGTTGTTGCTGGCGTGATATTAAAAAGGACCGTGTTTATTTTAAGAAATTTCAAAGATATACAAAACGAATTAATTTGTTCCGATTTAGTTATTTTCTTATAAACTGGATCTGCATGGTTTCATTTATTTTTCTGACTACAGGTGACGACAGTGTTGCAATGAGAAAGTATTTAAAATAAAACATTAGTTTCCGAAATCTAACTAGATGTCGCTACGGTACATTCTTGATTTGTCCATGATAATCTTTCCGGTTTTCTTTCATATTTAAAAGTAAATTAGTTTTCAAAACTCAATAAACAACTCATATTCTCTTAGTACTTTTTCATGTTTGTATAAATATCTAAGTTTCAAACTTTTCAAATTTCAGTTTTTTAATATGTTAGTTAATAGGAACGGAAATTACTGTCTTTGGCCCATTCGTTTCCTGCAAAAACCAACGTTTTCTAGACTCGCCATCGAGTGGTGGTGCTTTTTAGTACTTTCCTTTTTTTAAATACTTCCTCTTTGTGATATATATGTTTTTATTGTAATATATATTACGCGCATAGACACATAGCATACCGCGATCAAGTCTCTTTCTTACCGAAGGACATTTCTACTTATAGGCACACGTATACATAAGTGTAATGGTACAGCCTGAACGAATGCAGGACCAACGCACGTCAAATGGTATATTCAATAACAAACCTTATCGTGATACACATAAGAACCAACTTTCGCAAGTTTTCAGTACCAACGACAACAAATCGGCTCCGTTTATATGTACATAGAGATAGGGTTTGTTATTGAATATACCATGTCATGACCGATGGTCCTTGGTACACTTAATCTGTTCGCAATATATACCTCCAAGTAACAATTACGTATCTTCGTCTATACTTATATTACAAAGAGGAAAGATTTGCTTTATCTGTTTGTTAGAAGTGGATAAACACAAAAACTACCTACCTACTAAAACGGCCGATTTCTAAGAGCTTTCGTAAATATCGCGGCCTGTGGAGTCAGCCTGTCGATTACATAAGTTATGAAAAGTGTTTTCAAATCACCTTAGTTACCTGCATCTGTTGTTGCAGTATCGCCTGTTGTTGAATAGTTTTGCTCAGTGGTTGCTTGTCTTGAACACTCGTTATTTGCGCCATTTGCCCACTCGAATTCATCACGAGCAGTCTGCGAAATATTTGTTAATGTGATATACAACAATTAAATCACAAATAAGGATGACATTATTATTATTATTGTTTTATATTTTATGCGTAAACATTACATTACGTTACATTGAATTAAAATGTCACATAATTTACGCTTTCGTGCATTTACTACAAAACTTTGATTTAGCGAGCACTCCTCAACTTTAATGCATGCTATCTAAGCTTTTGCTTGTTATTTTGAAGTAAAAAAAATACACATCTAATATTTATCTTTCATTATATTGATGTGAATGTTATTTCTATTATGTTATTAATACTTCATATAAACTATAACTGTGTTAAGCTTTAAAAGCTATACAAAACTTTTGTTGACCGTATGAACATAATTATAATAACTTTTGGGTAATTATTAATTACCACTTAATGCTTAGTATACTCACTGTTGCTTAGGCTGTTGCATTTGATGCTGCATTTTATTAGTTTGATTGGCCGCATCTTGTTTAGCTGTGGGCGCTGGTGAGCGTACGCCAGGTTTGCCTCGATGTTTCGCCTGCAAAGATTAAAAATTGCAACTAATCAAATATAATATTTATAGGAATTTCAAAGTTCAAATCAGAATATGGAAATTCTATATTTATTAAACTCATTTTCTTGCCTTAAACTTAAGTCAACATTTTAAATTCTATACACGCCAAAACGCTATTCGCTATATATCTGACGTCATTTCGATATGTACACAAAACAGACGCATAGAGTATATTATAGAAATTTCTATCAAAAGATGTCAATTACACAAAAACGGTGTCATCGAACAATCTTGCTCCAAAAGAAAAAGGTATAACTAAAGAACAGCGCCATCTAGGGATCTGCTATAAAATAAAAAGCCAGCTGTGTAAGAATAATCTGACAGATCTAGAAATGTTTCAACGTCACAGCATAACGGATCGTGTTCCAGGTCACGTGATACACAAGTGAAAACTCTACTTTTAATTTATTAACTAGGGGTTCATACAATATACCGCTGAAAAACTCCATTTGCATTTGAACTATCGCGAGACTGATAACGGACTCGTAAGACACTAGTAGCAAAATGTGCGAATAAAAATAAAAAATTTAATAAAATACTCCTCGATGATACTGGTCAAATATAAGTATTGTGAAGTAGGACCTTACTGCAATTATAAAGGACTAGCGTTCCGCCAGCGGCTTCACCCGCGTGGTCCATATGGAACTGCTTATTTGAATATCGATTCATATCATGACACTGATATAATTACAATGACAAATTGAATAGTAAACAATGGTTACTATGGTAACGTTTTAATTCCCTATACAAACTTCCACTCCCATTTTAACCCAATAATTGTTGTTTTTCAGTATAAAATAAAAGCCTATGTTCACCGCATATGATGTAGGTGGAAGAATTTTTAAAATCGGTTCAGTAGTTTAGGAGCCTATTCATTGCAAACAAACAAACAATCAAATCTTTCCTCTTTATAATATTAGTATAGACAACTGACCTGGTTTTGCGCTTGATTAGCACTGGTTTGCGTGGACACAGATGATGCAGGTCTGATAGTGCCCGATGGTAAAATATTCGATAGCGGACGTGGTGCCTTCGATAATCCGTCCGATGACGCGCGAGGTTTCGCCGTCGTACCGGTAGCACAAGCGACGCTCGCATCTGATGACAAAACAAAAATTATGATTAAATAAATAAAATAAAATTTATACGTATAATCAGGATGCCAAAAACTGTAAATATGCTTCAAATAATTTTGAATCATAAGTCGATCATACACAAGTCAAAGTTAAATGAGGAATTAAGAAATTTTGTGCTAATCTAATCTGTCTTAACCTTCCAGAAATATATAAGCTAGAAACTATTAAGAGTAGTTTCTGCATTCTATAAACACAGATAAAATACAAATAGCTGAATTTAAACACAGCAATGATAACAATATAAATAAAATTAATATTAAAATCACCTTCAACGACATAAATGGCCAGTTGCATAAACGTCCATTAAGGTTTAATGACGCCGTTAAACTCTAATGAATGGCAAATTTGTATGGGTAATGTCGCTTTAAACTAATGATAAATTTAATGGACATTTGTGCATCTGGCTGTAAGAGACGTACGTTTTTAACACAGAAATTCATTCTTCGTTTTTTATGCAAACACAGATAAAAACAAAGAGGAATCCATTTATTTGGTTTTTGCAAAATCGCTTAGCAGTGCAACATAATATAAATATAAAAAATGATGAGAGACAAAATATGCTTCACATATCAACAATAATTGCGATATTTCTACGTGCATAGAAGTATAGCACAGTTTACCAAGTAGATGTAAATTGAACCTTTTCAGCTCCCTTAAAAATCAAGGATGCAGTTATAGAATATTAAAATCAAATATAACCATTACATCCAGCGATGGTGTTTAGATTGAATGGGATATTAACTGTTCGAACATAGCGCTCGATCAAAAATTTGTTTATTCATACGAATAATAAATCAGATCATTAAATTTTAATTACTTAGACCTAGTTACACAAACGTCCATTAAAACTGTTATAAGTATGAAGTGACATTACCGTTACAAATATATAAAATTTAGAGCATCCATTAAAGCTTAAAGGCTTCATTAAACCTTAATGGACGTTTGTATAAGTGAGTATTTATCTTTTATTAAACACGACTATAACATATAACTTCACACTGTTAAAGTTTGTCGTTAACATTAAATTTTAATATATGAATATAGAGAATATTATGTCGTGTCTAAAAAAAATATCAC